CGCCCGGGCACCGCGGGCTCTGCTGAGCGGCCCGCCCCCGTCTCGCGGGGTCTGTGTCTGTCTCCTGGGCATCCCTGGCGGGCCCCTCAGATTCCCAGCCCCCGCCCCCTTAGCTCTGACCCCCAGGTTCAGGCAGTGTTACAAGGGGGCTTTGCAGCCCGCCTCCCCTCTGTTCAGAGGCGGATTTACCGTGAAACAAGCCGTGCGGCGCCCCCCCCCCCCACGACAGCCCTCCCGCACCCCCCCAATGCAGGACAAATCTCATCTGACAACCTGCCTCCCAAGTCCCGGCCGGAGACCCGCTGCCCCCCTCCCCACAAGGGGCGCGCCGAGACATGCCGGCAGCCTCCCCCCACCGGCGCCGTGCCGCTCCCGGAAACGGCCGGCATTCCCCGGGGGCCCCTGGGGGGTGTCTCCACACGTTACCCGAGCGCCGACTCCGCAGCTCCCATTGGCTGGGAACTGCGGCCAATGGGAGCTGCGGGGGCGGCGCACGGAGACCCCTGGCTCTCCCCGCGCCTAGGAGCCGCTGCCAGAGGGGTGGGGCGGTCGCTTTGGCAGCCGCGCTGTCCAAGGTTAGTGACGCCCCCGCTGACCGCACCCGAACCCCCTGCCCCAGCCTGCACCCAAACTTCCTCCCAGAGCCCGCACCCCTCCCACACCCGAACCCCTGCCCCAGGCCAGAGCCTGCAGACAAACTTCCTCCCAGAGCCCGCATCCAAACTTCCTCCCAGAGCCCGCACTCCTCCTGCACCCGAACCCCTGCCCCAGGCCAGCGCCCGCACCCAAATTTCCTCCCAGAGCCCGCACCCCTCCCGCATCCCTGCCCCAGCCCAGAGCCCGCACCCTGCACTCAAACTTCCTCCCAGAACCCGACCCCCGCACCACCTCCTGCACCCCAACCCTCTGCTCCAATCAAATACCTCACTTTATTGTCATTTACTTCCTATTACTTATAATATAGGAGGAGGATGAAGAAAAAAAGAATGAAAAACGGGGGGAAGATAAGAGAAAGTTCTTTCTCTTGGCTGTGTCCTGGGGGGGGGGGGGGCAGCGAAAATGAAGCTGCACACAGGGCCCCACTAACTCTAAGTCTGCCACTGCCTCCGTTCGCAACCCTGCCTGTTCTCTCGCGCTCCCACTCTTCCCCCCTCTTCTCTTGGTACCCCCTAGCCTGAGCTCAGCTGCAGCTCCGCTCTTGGAGGGAGATATCGGAATTCACTGGTGAGGTACTGTGGCCCAGTGGGGAGTGTGCTGGCCTGGCGCTTGGGAGACCTGGATTCTGGTCCTAGCTTGGCCACTGACCTGCTGGGTGACCTTGAGCAAGTCACTGTCCTGCTCGGTGCCTCAGTTTCCTCTTCCCATTGACCAGCTGTGAGTCTGACTCAGTGGGGTGGGTACCCTGTTTGGCCCTCTCACCTCTCCGCTCATACTCCCAGGGCCTGTTTTTTAGAGGTGTGTACACCATTGACTTGGCTGGAGTGATGGACGCGCAGCGCTCCTAATAAGCAGGCCTGAAGTAACTTGCCTCTTTTAACCAGGTGTTTGTGACGGCCAGCTGATGCAGTGGCTTTGAAATACTGCAACTTCTTAAAGCACAGGTTCTTCAAATCCCAGCCCTTCATCCTTCAATTCGCTGCTAGGTCTGCTGTGTGCCACGGGCAACTGCCTTTCCGGAGTGTCGTGTGTCCTTAGAATGAGAGATGCTAGCAAATTTTAAAATGCATCGTGTAGATTTCAGGATGATTTTTAAGGGCCATTGATGTGTAGACAAAAGTTGTGTTGCAAGAGAAAGGAAGCTATTTGTAAAGAGGCTGTAGCATTTGTTGCCATACTGATGTTGCATACAAATGAAACATTGGAGTACTTCAGTAGCTCTCCTGGTATTTGAAACCGAGATTGCTCTGACTGATTACAGTGAAGGCTTCCTAGTCTGGGGTGAGATAACTGGTTCTCTCTTTCTGGCACCTGGATAGATGATACTACCAGCAGATGGCAGACTGGCCACAGGTGGAGATCTGACTGATTTTGTGACTCCTGGTGTCTGTCAGCTGCTGAAATAAGATTGAGTGAGACCACTGCCTGTCTTTTGTCTATGACCACCTTTTGAGAGGGCTTCACCCTTCCTCTCTCCACTTGTTTGCAGGTGGTTCTGGGGAGTGTGTCTGAATTGCAATGTCAGAGTCAATGTTGCTTCATCCTGTGAGTCTGAAAATGGGGGCAAAATGCAGACTGAGGAATGAAGATATGCCCCCAAAAGGGGCTGAGACCAGGGAATTAGCTGATTTGGGAATATGACAGGCAGAAAAGCTGAAAACACTAAATTACCTGATGGAGACACTTATCCTTTGCTCTTACTAGAATGTTAATTTCCATGTACTAGTTAGTCTGCAACAGTTTGCCACTTACAGTGTGGTTTTACTTGCAGAAGGTGGCTAGGTAAAAATGCCCCGCTTAGTCAGCAGATCTACACTGCACACCCTCCAACTGTGTATGTTCAGAGTCAGAAATATTGGTTTTTAGTGGCAAAAATAAGATTCTCTTAGCTCAGCTGAAACACAGCAAAGAGATGGAGCTGGGTTGTCACCATTAACAGAACTTTTAACTACATTCTAATTTGGGGCCAAACTCTGCCTTGTTATACTAGTGCTCCTTCCCTCCTCCCCCCCCCCCCCCAGAGATAATGGGGCTACCTGAGTGTAAATGAGTGCAAGATGTAAAGACAACAGCATTACACAGGCAAGGGCAGAATCTGACTTGCTGTTACTGGTGATGATGTATGTCAGAAATAACCCAGCTTGATATTCAGATCCCAAGACAGGGTTGGAGACTGGCCACTGCTGGTAAGCAGAACAAACTTAATTTGGAGTCGCTGAGAGAAGATAAACATGAAGCCCTGTGGTAACATGTCTGCAGAATTGCTTTTCAGATTAGAGTTCCACTCTTCATTCGTGTGTCTTTTAAAGAGAGACTTGCAAGTTGTAGAGGGGGAGCTATATTGCACCGTTGACTTTTAGGCAGAAGTCTCCGTGGAAGAGAGAGAGCAGTTCTGTCTAAAACCAGATGGTATAGTTGACCTGCTTGGGCCATCAGTGTGATCTAAATCTGGGACCTTCAGATCTAAAAGCATGACTCTTCTCTTTGAGCTAAAGGACTAAATCACCTGGGTGGGAATAATAATATTCTTGTAAACATTTTGTATGGCCAAGGCACTAAAGCAGAGCAAACGCCCACATTCTTTTAGGATGGGTTACACAGGCATTATAGGACACTGGACTCTTTTTTTAGGACCCTTTATATTGGCACAAATAAAGTTATTTTCCCTTAATTTTCTGCAGAAATATAACTATGTAGCAGCCTGAATCATAATGGCCATAGTTATAAGCAGGGAGTCACCATGCTGCGCTCATTTTAATTTCCTGAGGGCAGCACTTCTTGTGTCACACTGGAAGGGTGACTTTGGTTTTTCCCCCATCACTATTAATGCATTGTTAGTTCTCACCACCTACTGAGTCTGCTGCCTCTTTCTCCACAACTGTATTGTATGTATGATCCTGGACCTTGGAAATCCCACCTGCCCTATGGAAGACTTCTGACCTGCGGAGGGTATTCCATTGACTAACACTGAGTTCCTGTACCAAGCTGGTGGAATCTTAAAAGTTCCAGGATTGGAGTTGCTTGGTTGCTTCAGGGGATTCTAAGGACGCTGCAGGCAGGGTTCAGGAGGCCCTTGCTTAAACAAATTTCGTAGGCTGGTTACAACCCCTGCTTTCAGTACTGTTGGTAAATCCTTTGTAAAGACCAGAGGCCAGTCAAACAGGAAAGGCCCAGAAACTCAAATCCCTTTAATACAGATTATTTCACTCTGACGCAGGTTACAAGGAGCTCAGCTTTGATTAAATAGGTCAATCTGCTTTGAGAACGGTAATACCTGGGTATATTTGATCTATCTCCCTCCTCCCCTCCCTCTCAGGTTGGAAATGGAGACAAAGAACAAAGCTCTTATCTGTCAATGGGCAAGTTTTAATTTTTCATAAGTGCCTGATGGTGACATGATGGGTGACACATTTCCAGCAGAGGCTGTTGGGAGAGGAAGATTTGGGGGAGGGGTATGAGAAACTGGGTCTTATTTTTAACCTGAAGATGCTTGTCTAGATTAGAAAACAGCATATTCTGTGTGCTGATTGGAAAGACCCTTTGAAAGGATGTCAGATGCTTTGCCCTTTCAGTGCCAACAATGGGCCAAACCGCGCTAATCCTGATTCGGGCTAAATTTCCATGAACTTAAATTGGAATTTCACTCAAGGAAAGATTGCTGGGTGGTTTTGCCCTGTGTCAGGTTAGCTGAGCAGAGGGTTCCGTGTTCTGAGCTATAAACTCAGGAACGGGTACTTCTCGAAACTACTACTACCAACACCAAAAAAAAAAAAAAAAGAGGAAGAATGATGAGCAATGTTTAAAATATTCAGCAGATTTATTTATAGTCCACAACAGAATGAACAAAACATCTGCTAATTGCATACAAGACATTGAGCAGGATGATGTCGGCTACTGAGGAAATGCATAATTCTCAATTTGGCTTAAAAAATTAGTTTCTTGTTATTCCCCCTCCCCACGCTCATCTCTTCTATGGGAGCTGGGCTCCTTTATGATGCATGTAGGGCCTGACCCTGAGAAGGCTGAGCCCCCCTTCCACTTCCAGGAGGTTCAGCAGTGGTCAGGACTGAGCCTCAAGTTAGTGCGAGTGGTGGCTTGGCAGACAGAAATCATGCAAGTCAAATGGCCAACTACAGAGATTTGTTCGTACGTGGTGCTGACTAAGCCAGTTCTGATGCGACTTCTACTTTGCCGCAAAAGTATCAGAAGCTGGTATTTTGGCATGTTCCAGCACAAACACTTGACATGCAGAATTGCTACAACAGGCACCAAAAGATAACCCTGCCACCTCTTCCCACGTGTCAGTTGTGTTTTATACGGGAGGGAAGAGAATGGACAATTCCTTCACTGAAAAAGCCTTTATTGTCTTTAACGCTACTAAATCTTACACTGATACGTGCCTGCTTCAAACATATCTTTTGTACCTCTGAAGTAAAGTGTTTCATATCCTTTAATATCAAATACACTATTACAGAGAAATCACAGGATGCAGCAGGGGTCTGAGTCGTGGTCTTGGCCACACGTCTCACTCAAAGGGGAAGTGGTAGTGGTGTAGACAGTTCTGCCTCAGGAAGCTTGGATTCCTCGCTGTCTTATTTTCAATATACATTTTTTTCTGTTGATTTAGGTTACTGCACAAATCATTTTTTGGGGGGGAGGGCTCCCCAGAAAATGAAGACACCCATAACCACATCGGCTCTTGGAACATTTCAGTCTTGGTGGTTGCAGACGGATACACTTCATCTGTTGGACGGGTAACAGCACGGGAGGTGGCAAGGTGAGTGCCTCATGCTGCCCTGCCAATGCCTCAAATCTGTTGTAGGAGGCTCAGTCTCACACTATAGCTCATTTAGTGCTGAGCCTGTTAGCAAGTTAGTGCTAAATGTGGGGCAGCTTAGGGGTACTTGACCACTGGGGATTTGACTGAGATCCATCCGCTAATACCACCCAAGCCATGGAACTGCAATCTGAGGAATAACTCTCACTATCACCCCAGGCTAGGTTTGAGCAGATGGAGCCTGCAAACATTTCTTTGTGGTGCCTTTCCCCATCAATGCTTACTATTGGCTCCTTATTATCTTCCTCTTCTGCATACCCCACACCAGACTCAATTTGTATTCTAAGAGAGTGTTTGTGTTTTAAATGGTTAAATTACATCTGTATTAAATATTTGTTCTTGCGTAGTGATCTGAGCGCATTGCTGGGGGCAGACGAGGTAGGGGGTGGGAGGGTCTCTCCCCAAATAATGTAATTAATAAAGGAGCAACATCCAAGTAACTGGTAGCCTGGAACGTGGACAGAGTAAATATGTCAATTTATCAGTTCCCCTAAAATCCTTGGGCGTGATAGTTATAATAATACTTAGCACCATTGAAACTTAGATCTCTACGTGCTTTGCCAAAGGCGAGCAAGCATTATTATCCCTATTTTACAGGTGGGGAAACTCTGTCACAGAGGTTAAGTGACTTGCTCACAGTCACCCAACAAGTCAAGTGGAATTGGCTTCCACCTTGTGCTAGAGAGGTCAAGTCTGAAGTTAAGCTTTATAGTCCCAAGGTTTTCTTAATGCCTGATTTAAGTGTTGATTGATAGAAGTGCAGCGAGTTCAACAAATGTGTATGTCTATTAAATTAAATGGAAATCAGCTGTGAGGGCCTAGAGAAGAAGGCTGCCTTCTTGCTGCTAAATTTAGGTACGTCTCAAATATCCCTTTTTTTCGTCCCATAAATGTACTGCATTTCAAAAGGGCTGCCCCACCCAATGGAAAGATCACGCTACAGTGGTAAGCAAAATTCTCACAGTCTTCGTTTTGTAGGAGGAAAGGGTCCGAAGTTTGTGAGTGGTGGGGATCAACTAATTATACAGCCTCCCTTCTCCTTAAAAGGGTTCTTATCCTCAGGAACACCTTTCAAAAGAGGGTCCTCTGCTGCCATGGATTCTATATACTCCTTGAGCTCTTTGCCCGTCTTGGAGACCTGGAGAGAAAGAAGAATCTCTTCTTAGGTTATGATAAAGAGATCTCATTACATAGGATTGGCCAGACTGTATCAGACTCATGGTCCCTCATACTCCACTGTTGGAGAGAGGACAGTGGTGAGTCCCAGATGATTCATAAGAAGGTGCATGAAACCTCTCCCTATGTTGGAGTCATCCTAGCCCCTAATTGTTAGAGATTGGCTGAAGATTTTGGAGCATGCCGTCTTAGATCCTTACCAAACCCGTTTCTTAGCATTAACTGTTCTAACTCTGAATAGCCTTGTTATCCATATAAATGTCCAATCCCTCTCTGAATCTTGCACCTTGATGGGAATTATTTTTCTGAAGCAGGCCACTTCCCTGGATCAGCAGTAGGAATTTCCCAGAGCCCCGGGGCATGGTGCTGAGAACCCTCAGCAAGCCAGTAAAGGCTCACTGGAGCTGAGGGTACTCAACACCAGGAGGAGTCAACAACTTCGCTCCTCTGGCACTATGGAACCCTCAACAATAAGGGTAAACGCTCATCTGTACGGGACCCAGAACCTTCTTCGGGGCTGGTCCGAGACTATGTCATGAATTCCCCCAGGCACTCAGGGCTAGAACAGGCCTCATCACTTTTCGCTCCAAGTGCAAGGCACGTTTTTTTGACCATGCCTTCTCTAATGTAAATGTGTACAACAGAGATATATTTAACAAATAAACCAAAAACCCTAGTAAAGCATGACATTCCCCTACACACACTTCTCCCTCTGGGGAGAGGATAAGAGAATAAACACGTGACAGAGATGTAGTCACGTTGCTTAATGCACTATAGGAAGGTACTCAGATACTCTGGTGATGAGTGTGCTATAAAAACCGATATAGAGTAGACTAGCAACCCTGGGCCAATGAAATAGCCAATGAATTCCATGCAGAGAGACCGCATTGCTACCCCTGCTCCTGTTTTAAGAACTCTGGCCATGTTAATTCAGCTGGGTTATACTGTAGTAATTTAATGGTACAAGATGGAAACTGGCTAAGACTTTTCAGTCATCTAGTCAATCTCATCCCACAGCCAGTGCAGGATTTTGTCTTCTCTAGCACCTGACTTTGTCTTCTCTGCACGATACAACTAGATTATTTTATGGGGTCTCCTATACAAACTAGTTCTCCTGCCCCTTAACCCTTTTTTTTTTAAACCAAGTGGAACATTGCATATAAGTGTCTTAACTCTAATGTCATTCTCCATCAGTTTGGGCCTGATCCTGCTATCATTGAAGTCAGTGGCAAGATCTTGCTATTATCCAAGCTCCCATGGACTTCAATGGAGCTGGGCCAGACTTTTTATGCAGCAACAGACACTGTGGGCCAGATTTTTCAAAAGATTGTGGTGTGTTGAGTGCTGAATGTCAGGATGAGGCTAAACTCCTAAAAACCTAGCCCTGTGAGACCAATCCTTCTTTGTGCTGAGTGCTCTCTTCTCCCATATACTGTAACAGGAGTTGAGGGCGCTTGGCACTGTACATGATTGGACTGTGTTGGCAAACTGCTATTTTCCATCTGTCTTTAAATACTCAAATGGCAGCCAGAGAAGACTGTGTTCCATATACTCAGGGACCAAGATCCTTATGCCTCATTGATTTCAGTGGGAGTCAGGCACCTAAGTGCCTTTGAGATCTGGGCCCAAATCATTTTCTCTTTGTGCTCTCACTAATTGTCCTTTCCTCTAGCCTTTTTATATGCACTAGAAGCCTGAAATTTGCAATCCTGACAAGTAAAACACAAGGCTAAATCCTATCTTTAACGTGGAAATGTGAAAACTCAGCGACTGGTTTTGTATTTGAGATTTAATTGAAGGCCCTTAAATTGGGGCACACTTTGCCTGGTATAAACGTTGGTCTAGATGGTTACCCCAGAGATTAATTTATCCCATTGTGCTTAGACCCTAATAGAAATACTTGCCATTTCCCTTTCATTCTTCACTTCCTTTTTTAGCTGGTCAAGTTCCATCTTCAGCAGTTCTTTTTCTGTGAGATCTTGAGCCATGTTGCCCTGCAACCAGAGTGGAAGCCCTGTTACTGATTTACATACAGCTTCTGGAAATGCTTCTCCTAAGGCAGCCCAAAAGCAGGTATGATCAACAGTTTAGCTTCTCTTAGGACTCAGTGAAGTCAGTGGGGCCTGGAGACACACTAAGGCTATCTATCTGTTTCCCCATTCTGAGCAGGTATGGAAAATCCTTGAATTTCTCCAGCATTCCAAATAGAAGATATAAGCAGATCCTCAGCTGGTTTAAACTGGCAGAGTTCTATTAGAGCCAATGTTGCTATGCTGGTTTAGGTAACATAGGAATTTCCACATTAGGTCAGACCAGTTGTCCATCTAGTCCAATATCCTCACCAGCTGTGACCAGTACTAGGGGAAGGTAAAAGAAAACCTGCAGTGGGCAGTTATGGGATTAGCTGCTACCAGAGAGAGTCTTCCTGACCCCTTTGTAGCTAGGCTGATGCCCTGAAGCATGAGGGTTAAGAAGCATGAGGGTTAATAGCTTTTCCAAAGCTTTTTTTTTTTTTTTTGTTACTATAATTGGATTTTTTTGTTACCCAGAAGAACATCTAATGGCTTGATGCTGATTTACACTAGTGGAGGACCTAGACTGATATTAAAACCCCCCACCCAATTCAGTATATATATATATATATATATTAGGTGGGAGATTTTTCCCAGGCACAAATGGCAATTAGGGATTTACCTACCTTTGACTTTTATTGCGTGTTAGACTCCTTACTACCATATGTGCCTTCAACCTGACCCTGAACCTCTATTACCAGGCAGCTTTAAGAGGATTCAATGACTTGAGCCTGGATATTGCCTAGAATTGCCCATTTATCTTAAATTAAAAGAATGCTCTAATCGCTAACTGCATCTTTTTGAACTCAGAGCATACTATACTGAAAGGGAGCGATTTTTCTCAAACCCTATTCCTCTGGATAGGTTTGTTACCAGGTTGCTATTTCCAGCTAAATTCTAATACTTTGCCCTTCTCTAGCACCTTTCATCCAAGAGTCCCAAAGCACTTTATGAACATTAATGAATTAAGTGACATAATGCCCCTGTGAAATACGTAAGTATTATCCCCATTTTACAGACTTGGTGACCTGAAAATCAAACAGCTCTAGTCACTTGCTCACGGTCACAAAGCAAGTCAGTGGCAGCGCTGGCCATGGAACCCAGGAGTCCTGGCTGTCTGTCCTAGCCCAAACCATTATCTGTGCTCTCATTGTATAAAGAGCAACATGAACACAACTTCCTGGTTCTAACTGAAACACTGTTCTTAAATTCATCTGGTATATTTAATTATTGAATATCTCTCAGAATGCTGTGGGCTGGATTTTCAACTGGAGTAAAGCCGCATAACTCCCTGGAAGTCAATGGGTCTGTGCTGATTTACATCAGCTGAGGTTCTGGCCCTTGGAGTCTGAAACTAGTTTCATAGTTGATGTGGATGGGGAAAACAAATGAAGTATTATTCTGATTTCCCCCCCCTGGCCTTTGTCAGTTTAAGCCAAAACTTAAATATCTCTAATGCTTTCAGGGTTTGTATTTTATTTTTATTTTTTTTTGGCAATTTTGCTTTAATTTGCAATAATTTAACAATTAACTTGCAAAAGTATTAAAAGGAAACAGCACTATAAGGATATTTTGAACTGTCCAGAGAAATTGAACTTGTTCTGAGTTTCTAAATATGTATTTAGACTATACTTCTGATCTTTATTATTTATAAGGTGGGAGATAGCAGATGCAATTAGTTAAGCAACTCCACATAAAACAGAATCCTGTTTATGGAAATAGAACAGGGGATATGGAATCTGTGAATAAATTAGGGTTTGCAAAGAATGAGGAATCTTTAGAATAAGTGATGTGCGTGAAATAGTCATTGTTATCTTAGCAGTATTCAGTAAGGCTTCTGGCAAGAATAAGCGTGGCTGCAACTGGTCTGATGTTTGGGTCTAGTTCAGAGAGACTTTTTAAGCAAGAGTGATGTCTTTTACATAGTGTCTTTTTTTTTTAAATGTTATTCAGAATACCAAAATTAAGTGGCCCACATGATAGATTAATCAGTTTCATATTTAGAATCAAAACATGTTTGGAGGTCTGAGTGCAAAATGTATCTAAGTATAAAGCTGAATGGATTAATTTTAACACACACACTGTGATTCTTCCTGTATATTGCTAGCACTGTTATTGCCATTTTTCTTTGCTCCATCACTTCGTAAGAGTGCACTCTCTATAATGCACTGCAATAGAAATATTCAATATGTCTTGCCCTACCTTCCTCTACCTAGAGTGGTATATACATACTGTCAAATTCCATAGCTGAGACTGTTACACTTTCGTGCCGACCTGCAACTCATTGACACCTGAGTGATAAACCAAGGAAAAGCGAGGCTTTGAAGAGAAGCCAGGACACAGCCTGGAACACAGTGACACAAATGAACACTGCTGCAAAACAGCCCATGCTCTGAGGAAATGAAGGAAACTTACCTACTGGGGTGAAGGCTTTTTCCTTTCCGAAATGCTGAGAAGTTTTAGAGATACATCTGTACAGGCTGCTGAGAGGATGGCCTCTGCTCTCTCCTTCTGCTTCCCACTTGAAGACTCCTTCAGACTTACCAGATGGCCAATGGAGCAGATGTCTTCAGTTCCTAATCTGATAATAAACTCCGTTTATTAAGCTGGTCAGGTGTCAGGCATTAACCTCAAAATCCAGGGTAACCAGACAGGGGGCTGCAGAGGCAGATTTTAAAGCTGATCAATAATTTCATAGCTGGCAACTAACATGCTGCTTGAGTGTTGGTCCCACGATATTAGAGAGAGGTGGATGAGGTAATCCCTTTTATTGGACCAACTTCTCTCTCGGAAGTAATGCTTCCTTTTTCTTCATGTTGTGGCATTTCTATTTCAGGCAGCAAAATTCGAGATCTTCCCTGGTTGTTGGCAGAGTTCTTGTAGCTGTGTGGGTCCAATGAAAGCGGTTACCTTGCTCACCTTATGCTACATAAGGGCAGTCTAGAAAGCACCTCCAAAAGCTTGGGAGTCAGATTTCCAAGAGGCCCCAGAGTGCTCATGTGACCAGCTTCCAGTCCAGGCTGGTCATGAGTGAAAAGAATTGCTAGAGATGGGCACAATAGCCTAAGTTATCTGGGACTTTGTCCTAGGGCCATCTTGACCCATTGCTGCCTGAAGGCTGCTCATTCGCTTTGTGAACTGAGCTTGGTGGGTCTGAATCAAGTTCCTGGTGAGCAGGGGTCAGTAATCTAAACTGCCCTCTCTTCTCCCACTCCCACACACAACCACCATTGGCGGTCTCCGCAGAGGGAGGTAAGGATCGAGTGGGCCTCTTTGCCTCCTCCAAGCCAGGACTGAGGAATGCTGGTAGGGCAGCATGGGAAAAAGTTTGCACTGCTTCTATAGACAGGAAACTGACTCCCCGTGTAGACACGGATAGGTTGACAGACGGATTCTTCCATTGATCTAGCTACCACCTCTTGAATTAACTACATTGATGAAAAAACATCTTCTGTTGATGTCAGAGGCGTCTACGCTGTGGCACGGCTACTGCACTGTCGTTCTGCTGTAGCAGCTGTAGTGTAGAAATACCCTGAGGGCTTGTCTACACAGGGAGCGATTCCAGAATAGCTACTCTTGATTATCTCCATGTGTGGACGGTCTTCATCTGCTTTAAACTCACACCCTACCTTATTCTGGATTAATTTTCACGTGTGGACAAGTCCTGAAACTTGTGACCTCCTTCCCCAACTGCCCCCAGGGAGAAGCAGTGATCTCTCCCTTGTCTGCAGCCCTTCCCCTTCAGCAGAAGAGCAGCCAAAGGCTGAGACCGACTGAGAATGGAGTTGCATCTACTTACTGATCTGGCATGGCGAAAGCAAGTAGGAGGGCTCCTGCACTTGAGACATAAGAGGAATTTGCAGAAGCATTTAGGGTGGGATTCAAGATGGTGCCTAAATCCCATTGATTTGAATGCGAGTTAGGCGCCAAAATCTTTTTCAGTTTGGCATACCTCTGCTGCTTTTAGAAATCAAGGTAAAAGTTAAATTTCCCTGGATTTCATCACGAGCAGTCAGGCTCACTGAAAAGGTTAATGAGATTAGAACCTCAGCCAGTGGTGAGCTGGAGCCAGTTCGCACGGGTTTGCTAGAACCGGTTGTTAAATTTAGAAGCCCTTTTAGAACTGGTTGTCCCTCGTGGAACAACCGGTTCTAAAAGGGCTTCTAAATTTAACCGGCCCAAAGTGGCTCCTTAGGGGCCGACTCCACAGGTGCTCCAGCCCTGGAGCACCCAAGGGGAAAATTTGGTGGGTGCAGAGCACCCACTGGCAGCTCCCCGCCCCACCCCCGGCCCCAGCTCACCTCACCTCTGCTCCGCCTCCACCTCCTCCCCTGAATGCGCCACCCCTCCCTGCTTCTCCGTCCCCGCAGGCTTCCCACGAATCAGCTGTTCGCGCGGGAAGCTGGGGCGGGCTGAGAAGCAAGCAGCAGCTTCGGGCTCAGGCCCAGGGAGGCAGAGAGGAGGTGAGCTTGGGCGGGGGGGCACGAGGAGGGCCACCCGCGCCGCAGCAGGTAACCCGGGGGGGCGGGGGTGTGTGTGTGTGCAGGGGAACTGCTCCCCGCCCCAGCTCACCTCCGCCACCCTTGGCCTGAGCTGGAAGCCACCACCTGCTTCTCAGCCTTCCCCGGCTTCCCGCCGAACAGCTGATTCGCGGGAAGCTGGCGGCAGGGGCGCGGAGAAGCAGAACGGGGCGGTGCGTTCAGGGGAGGAGGCGGAGTGGAGGTGAGCTGGGGCGGGGGGGGCGCGAGGAGGGCCGCCCGTGCCGCAGCAGGTAACCCGGCGGGGGAGGGGGAGGCGCAGGGGAACCGCTTCCCGCCCCAGCTCATCTCCGCCACCCTCGGCCTGAGTGGGCAGCCGCCTCCTGCTTCTCAGCCTTCCGCAGCTTCCCGCCGAACAGCTAATTTGCGGGAAGCCGGGGGCGGGGGGGCACGGAGAAGCAGAGCGGGGCGGTGCATTCAGGGGAGGAGGCGGAGCGGAGGTGAGCTGGGGCCAGGCATGGGGAGGAGAGCTGCCGGTGGGTGCTCTCCACCCATCAAATTTTCCCTGTGGGTGCTCCAGCCCCGGAGCACTCAGGGAATTGGTGCCTAAGGCGCCACTTTTGATGTGATCAGTGGGGGGAGCGGCTGCTCCCCCCGCTAGCTACGTTAGCAATTGTCTTTCAGAATTTGTGGATGATGGGTGAGGTCCCAGAGTGCTGGAGAAGGACAAACATAGCATCTATCTTTAAAATGGGGAACAAATAGGACCCAGGGAATTATAGACCAGTCTAACTTTGATATCTGGAAAGATACTAGAACAAGTTATTAAACAATCAGTTTGTAAGCATCTAGAGGATAATAGAGTTATAAGGAATAACAATATGGATTTGTCAAGAACAAATCATGCCAAAACAACCTAATTGGGAGGGCTTATATAGTGGGATCTTGGGGCACAGGGGTCAGTCCTAGGTTGGTACTGTTCAATATGTTCATTAATTACTTGGATCATGGAGTGGAGAGTATGCGTATAAAATGTGTGGATCACACCAAGCCAGGAGGGGTCGCAAGGGCTTTGGAGTACAGGATTAGAATTCAAAATGACCTTGACAAATTGGACAATTGGCCTGAATTCAACAAGATGAAATTCAATGAAGACACAGGCCAAATATTTCACTTAAGAAAGAAAAAAATCAAATGATAACTATAAAATGGGGAATAACTGGCTAGGTGGTCCTGCAGGTTATAATGAATCACAAACTGAATATGAGTGAACAATGTGCTGCAGTTGTTAAAAAGTCTAATATCATTCTGGGGCATATTAACTGGGGTGTTGTATGTAAAATGTGTCAGGTAATTGTCTCACTCTACTCAGCACTGGTGAGGCCTCAGCTGGAGTACTGCGTCCAGTTCTGGACACCGCACCCTAGGAAGGATATGGACAAACTGAAGAGAGTTTAGAGGAGAGCAACACAAGTGATAAAAGGTTTGGAAAACCTGACCTGTGAGGAAAGATTAAACAAACTGGCCATGTTCAGTCTTGAGAAAAAAAGATTGACAGGGGAACCCGATGAAGCCCTTCAGATATGTTGAGGGCTGTTATAAAGAGGACAGTGATCAATTGTTCTTCATGTCCACTGAAGAAAGGACAAGAAGTAATGGGCTTAATTTTCAGCAAGTGAGATTGAAGTTAGATATAACGAAAACTTTCTAACTCTAAGCATCGTTAAGCTCTGGAATAGGCTTCCAAGGGAGGTTGTAGAATCCCCATCATTGGAGGTTTTGAAGAACAGGTTGGACAAACACCTGTCGGGGTTAGTCTAGGTTTACTTGGTCCAGCCTCCATGCATGGAGCTGGACTTGATGACTTTTCAAGATCCCTTCCAGCCCAACATTTCTATGATTCTGTGATTAGAGCAGCCTAGGAGCTGCTCTAAAGTGCACCAACTGGCTGCGGCCCCCAAAGGGCCATCTGCCAATTGTAGAATAGCTTGAGCTCAGCAGCACTGTGGTCGCATCCCCTGTGCTCTGGAGAAGAGTAGGAACAGACTAAACTGGCTGTCAATGGGGACTTGCTCACATTGGGAGAATCCCCAGCTGGGGAGATAAAGTGGCAGTGCAGCACAGAGGGGTTGGAATGTTGCACTGTTGCACTTTATAGTGTAGACTGGACCATAACCAGGTTAAAGCTGTGTTTATGACTAAGTCAAGGAACAACTGCTATGTAGCATGTGGAGTGATGCCAGGCCCTGCATGATCTCTGGAAAACAGAGCTGAGCTCATGGCACAAATATCTGAGCCAGATGTTGGGTTTTGATCTGCCCGAGTTCAGAGCTGTTTCGAGGGGTTGGTTCAGGCCTGTCTCTGCTGGAAACCTTGGTCCCACTGAATATGAGGAACCCCATTGCTTTATTGTATTCGTCTCTAAGGTTTCCCTACTTGTTGGTTTCAGTAGGGCCAGGATTTGACCCCCTAGATGTGCTACGGAGGAGCTGCAGCGGTAGAGAAAACTGAGCATGGCATCTAGGTTCGGCTGTGAACACAGGAACAAATTCTTCAAGCAGATGACAGGAGTGGGACACAAGTCGACGCCTAAGGAACCTGCTGTAGCCTGATAGTTTAGCTTCCTAGCTGCTGGATTCTTCTTGGAAATGCTTCTTTTTCCATTGCCGACTTACTTTTCTGCCAGCGGGAACATGATTCACATCCTTTATCGCTGCTGCTTTTCTCTCGCCTGGTCCCCAGAGCTTCCCATGAGCATGTCTGGTGGCTGTCTCCATATCCCTGCCTCCGTTGCTCCTTTTCCATCCACCCATTCCCCAAGAGGATCAGATCAATGGTTTGACACCAGCTTCCTCCTTGCTGCAGCCCAGTGCATGTTGCAATCCCTCTGTCCTACAGAACGTGGGAACCCATTTGTAGCAATCAGTAAACAGACCCAGGGCTAAAATAATAGTTTCCTCTCCTGGCAAGTCCTAAGTTTCCTGAGTTATTCCGATCACCTTGGTTTCTCGTTGTATCAGTCAGCCTCCAGATCAGGGGCTGGGATGCAAGGAACCAAGGGTGGTTAGCAGAGTGTTAGGGGCTGGAAGTCGGGTGTCTTTGAATTAACCCCCAAGATGACTGGGCAAGTGACCAGTGCATAGTGAATCTGAGGCAGATGACTGAGGTCCTCCATTCTCTATGTGAAATGCGAAGGAAAAGGGTCACTGCTGCTGAAGGCAGTTGAAGTGTGACTGAGCTCCTCCCCAGCCAATGACTGCACCAGCGTGTCTGAGAGCTGCAAGGTTCAAAACCCCAGGCTAGGACAGCAGCTCTCTCAGAGAAGGAAGTGGGAACAGAGCAAAGCAGCAGCATGTCTGAACTGCAGAAACTTCAGCAGCATGAAATCCCCTCTGCCAGGCAAGTCCTGAGGGAGAATTACAGCAAACTTCACAAAGTGGCTGACTACTGTGAGAACAACTACATGCAGGTAGGTGCATGCTGTCTGCCCCCACACACCACCCCGAGCTCTATGGTACTGCAGCAGGTCTTCAGGGGCTGGGGAGAATGTGTGCTGGGCATGTGGTGGGCTTCCCCTAATTTGATTGGGCATGTGCCAAAGAGGGGCAGAATCATGAGGCTGCAGGTGCAAAGATCTTGGGCATGCTGTTAGGGGCATGAAAACTTCAGAGACTCTTATGCAAAGGATCAGACATTGCTGTCTGTGCAGAGTAAAAAAAGAAGGAAAGAAAATCATCTTACCTTTGGAGAGACCAGGACTTGGAAGACCTGGATTCTGGTCTCTGTCATCTTAGAGAAACCACTCCATCTGCTGTGCCTTGGTGTCTTTTGTGTCCTTAGATTGTAAGCTCCGAGGTGCAGAGAGACCATGTCTTCACTGTGGTGGGGCATAGGGGGGAAAGGTATGTTCTTAACTCAAATCCGACCCCAGGGGAGCCTGGTCTTCAACTTGACCTGCAAATGTCTGTGAGACGTAGCATCTGCCTTCTCGTCACTAGGCTTCTACCTTGCACTAGCTAACTTGAGTGAAGGACAAACCTTTTTCCATAGTGAAGACAAGCCCTGTGTGTTTGCAGAGTGCCTAGCACAATAATAATATGTAGCTCTTATATAGCACTTTTCCTCTTTAGAGCTCAATGAGCTTAGCTAAGCAGAAAGCGTTACCCCCATTTACTGATGGGGAGCTAAGGTACAGGCAGGTGAAGTGATGTGCCCAAGGTCACAGGATCTGTGGGTGGCAGAGCTGGGGAGTGAACCTGGATCTTCTGTCTCCACATCCAGTCTTAATGACAACCCATCCTGATGATCTGTAAGTATAAGCACTGTACTATATGGCGATAAAGACTGGATCTACCCTAATAAGGTTTTCCCTTTGTTAATTTCTAGATAGGTTTTTAAAGGGGAAGAGTGACCAATTATTCACATACAACTGGGGCAGGAGGGGGTGGAGATTCAGTGGGAGGGGGATTGTTCCGCGTGGTGACACCAAGAATCATGTGTCAGGAAACACAGAGGTAAAAGCTGAAACTCTGTGCTCAGCTCATGCACCTGTGAAATAGCAGAACCCCCAAGAGCCGCAAGCGGCAGCCTTGGCTTTGCAGTTTCTGGCTTAGTCACTGCCACAATGCTTCAGTGATAGCTCCTGGGTGAGCAGCGGTCTTCTTCTGCGACTGCTTCATTGAAGAAATTGCAGCGTTGTTCCCTTCCATGTTCGACCTGGGAATTAAAACCCACCTCCTTCCCTTCTCCAGATGGGAGTGGAGAACGATCTTGGTATCTATTCTTGTTTCCTTTGCATTGTGGTAGCACCTAGCAGCCTCAGCTGAGATCAGGGCTCTCGTTGAGGGGTGCTCTAACAAAGCAGTTACAATCCAAATAAACAAGGGGAGCATTATCCTGATTTTATAGGTAGGAAACTGAGGTATAGAGGGTCTCTGGCAGAAGCAAGATTTTAATCCTGGTGTGCGGAGTCAAAGTCCAGTGTGTCTTAACCATCTTTGGTCCATGTGGATTCTAAAGGGCTGTACAAACTCTTGGTTTGAGGGATTAAACTAGTCACTCTGAAATGCAGCCACTTCTGGGGTGGAACACAGATGGCACCACACAACCATTCAGGGCACAAAGAGAAGAATCACAATGTGTCCAGTTGAAAATAGAGGTGGAATTTCAATACACAGAATGTAATTGTTCGAGCTGGAATTTGGGCAGGACACCAAGGGTAGCACTTGCACTGTTGTGAAAACGGCAATGGCTGAAGTGGATCTTGAGTGACTAAAGATGGCCAGCCGCTTGGTTTTATTTCTCCTGTGAAAATCAGCACCCCCAGCCCCGGAGGTGTGCTAACCCCGTGACCACACACTGACTCAGAAAACGTTATCTACCAAATGGCTAGCACTGCTGAGGGGTTCCCGAGAGGATTGCGTCTAAGAACTAAGCTTACCTGACCCTGCTTAGCTTGAGAAGAGGACAGCTTGCAGTGACACAGCAACAGGCAAACAGTGCTGTAGCCTACCTAAGGCTCTTGGGTTGTTCCCTTCAGTTCCCGCAGAACATGGGGGTTTTACAGCCTGATCCAAAGCCCATTAAAGTCAATGGGAGACTCACCATTGACTGCAGAGCCCTTTGCATCAAGCCTTCATTCGTTTCCACCCAGGTCATCTAGAACAGAAGATCCATTTCCAGCATGTCCTGGGCTCGGGGAACAGGATTCTAGGGCCATGTCTATCGGTACAGCGTCACAGCTGTACCAGTACAGAGAGCTCTCCCATCGGCATAAAAAAACCACCTCCCCAAGCGGCGGTAGCTATGTCAGCAGGAGAAGCTCTCCCACTGACATAGCACCATGTACACAAACATTTATGTCGGTGAAATATTCACACCCCTATGCGACATAAGTTTTGCCGACGTAGGCGGAAGTGTAGACGTAGCCTAGCTGTTTTGTTTCCCCTTCCCAAGTGAGAACACCCTGGCATCCTTGTCCAGAGTAACAGCAAGACGAGGCAAGCAAGGGAATATCTTTTATGGCACCAACTTCTGGTGATGAAAGAGACAAGCTGTTGGGCTACACAGAGCTCTTCTTCAGGCCTGGGAAGGTGTGTGTAGCTCGAAAGCTTGTCTCTTTCACCACCAGACGTTGGTGCCATACAAGATATTCCCTCACCCGCCTTGTCTCTCTAATATCCTGGGACCAATATGGATACAATACCGGCAAACGGGGATTAACAGCTGCCTTTGTCCTCCTGTCAAGGCCAGGGTGGGGCTGGAGTAATAGTGTAGTTTCAGGCAGACACAAGTGTCCCTGAGTAATGGGTGTCAGTGACCTGCTCTTGTTCTGTTGACGCAGCTGAAGGAAGTTTGATGCATTTGGAAAGCAGAAGGAAACATCTTAAAATTAAGCCCAATGCCAATTAAAAGACACTGTCTCTTCGCAGAGTCAGTTGGTTCCGCTTCCTGAGAGCCCCACCCCTTGCCAGCTATGAACTATCCTCCTCGGGGTCTAATTGAGCAGGGACACCACCCGGTTTGCTCCTTGTAAAAGGAATCACGCTAGTGAGCTGGGGCTGGGCTATGGGACCTTTCAACTCTGCCTCTGGCCCTGATTGAAAATCATTGTAACAAATCCAAGGCTGTTTAGGAGTTCATTGTTGTCTCAAACTCTGGCCTCTCAGAACTTCAAAGTGATGCTGGGGATAGAACATGGGATTTTCCTGCTCCAAAACAAGCAGGCATTTAACCTTTGAACTAAAGGGGAATTTCCATGTGCAAAGTAATGCACATTGGTAAACATAATACCAATTATACATATAAAATGATGGGGTCTAAATTAGCAGTTACCACTCAAGAAAGAAATCTTGGAGTCATTGTGGATTGTTCTCTGAAAACATCCATTCAAGGTGCAGTGGCAGTCAAAGAAGCAAACAGAATGTTGGGAATCATTAAGAAAGGGATCGATAATAAGACAGAAAATATCATATTGCCTCTATATAAACTCATGGTACGCCCACATCTTGAATATTGCTTCCAGTTGTGGTCGCCTCCTCTCAAAAAAGATGTATTGGAATTGGAAAAGGTTCAGAAAAGGGCAACAAAAATGATTAGGGGTATGGAACGTCTTCCATATGAGGAGAGAGTAATAAAACTTGGACTTTTCAGCTTGAAAAAGAGATGACTAAGGGGGGATATGATTGAGGTCTATAAAATCATGACTGGTGTGGAGAAAGTAAATAAGGAAGTGTTATTTACTCCTCATAGCACAAGAACTAGGGGTCACCAAATAAAATTAATAGGCAGCAGGTTTAAAACAAACAAAAGGAAGTATTTCTTCACACAATGCACAGTCAAACAGTGGAACTCTTTGCCAGAGGATGTTGTGAAGTCCAAGAGTATAACAGGGTCCAAAAAAGAACTAGATAAATTCATGGAGGATAGGTCCATCAATGGCTATTAGCCAGGATGGGCAGGGATGCTGTCCCTAGCCTCTGTTTGCCAGAAGCTGGGAATGAGCAACAGGGAATGGATCACTTGACAATTACCTGTTCATTCCCTCTGGGGCACCTGGCATTGGCCACTGTCGGAAGACAGGATACTAGGCTAGATGGACCTTTGGTCTGACCCAGTATGGCCATTCTTATGTTCTATGACAGTAGAGGGCTTATGACACATACAGCTGAGCAGTTCTGATCCATCCAGCAGAGGGCAGTGGTTCACATAGACAGTAGCCAGTCTGTTACACCACTGACAGCTGAAGGCTGATTGGCAGGCTGTGTGAATGGAGTTGGTGGTCGTAGATTAGTTCCTAGGTCCAAGTGTCCATGTCACATTTGGCCCCCTGGTTGGCTGTCTTAGAAGAGAAGCCAGGAACAAATGGCCCATGGAGATAGAGGGCAGTTTCTCCAGAGCAGCATCTACACATGTCAGCTGGGGATAGAACAGGGAGGAGAAGGAGTCTGCACTGACACTACCCAGTCTGTGTTTATCCCCAGGGCAAGTAGTCTTCAGAGCGGTCCACTCCTGCACCTTACACCAGCTCTTCATCCCATGTAAACGAAAACTGGCCTCTTTGATCTCCTCTTGAGACACCAGAACTGTTGGCCTAGATATCAAAGGGCTGGTATCCAAGTCCCGAGTCCCTGAGCCTCTCCAGTACAAAACATCTTAAAGATTATAGTGGTAGAATGTCAGAGAAGCCTGTGGACCCTGAGACCACGCCAGTCTCCTGGCTCTCCCGTTCGGTTGGGTTCTTATACTGCGCCATCACAATGGTGTCAGAGTCTGGCCAGGGTGACTCCCAAACATTTTTGTTTTCTGTTCCAGGCAACAGACAAGAGGAAAGCCCTGGAGGAGACCATGGCTTACAGTGCCCAGTCCTTGGCTAGCGTCGCGTACCAGATCAGCAACCTAGCCAGCAACGTCCTCCAAATGTTGGACCTGCATGCAACTGAACTCCACCGGGTGGAAGCCAACGTCTGCTGCATTGCGCAGGTGGGTGGGAAATGCCTAGAGACAATGGGGGTGGTTCACCCTGGGTATGTCTACACTGCAGTCAGCGATGGGACTACAGCACACGTAGACCTCCCCGAGCTAGCTTTGATCTAGATGGTGAATAACAACAGCAAAGAAGCCGTAGCCACATGGGCTAACTGCTTGAGTGTATGCCCATGCTGCCGCAGCTTCACTTGTTATGTGAGTCAGCTAGATCACCGCAGGCTCTGGTGTGTCTACATGTGCAGCAATCGCCCCTCTGATTGCAGCGTAGACATAGCCTCCGACTCCTCACCCGCCGTCTATGACTTCTGTGCTGCACGCAGGTAGGCCACGCTAAACGTGTGGATCTTTGACGCTGGGCTAGGGGTTGGTCCACGTAAGAGGTTTATATTAGCAGCTGATGAAAGTGCTCCTTTAGCTCGTGTGGTAGAGGCTCGTGTTTTCAGTGCTGAAGGTCTGGGGCTCAAATCCTGCTGTTGGCTCAAGTCGGGTTTGATACCCGCATGTGAGGGATTTCTACTGTACATGCCCCGCTCCGCACTTACAGCCTGCAGTCATTGCTATTGGCGGAGCTACAGCCGTCCTCGGTGTATCTGGGCCAAGCACAGTGAGGCTGTCATAGCACGAAGAATAATTGGTGATCCTTCAAAGTGCCCCAGATCCCTTTGGGGAGACAGTGGGGCCTGATTTTCACAGGGGCTGACCACTTGCAGCTCCCGCTGAGTTTGAATGGAGTCGTGGGTGCTCTGCACCTCCTGAGAATCCTGCACTGGTACTTAAGCGATGGCAGTTTTCGAGCCCATGTGCACACCCTGCAACGCAGGCAAACGGCACGAAGACCTCTTTGCCCCACAAGCGGGAAAGCCCTGCAGGAATGGGTCCCAGGAGCCCTGTTCATTTTGACACACAGAATAGCGAGCTGCTAACTTCGTGTGGGCTCTGTCCCTTACTGCACAGGAAAGACGGCCCCATAGCTGACTGAAGGGTTTGACTCTCTGCCCAGCAAGACCGTGTGTATCTGACTGCTCCCCCACCCCCATCCTTATCCTTTTGGAGTCTACGGATGTGTGTGGAGCGTTCAGTGACAGCCAGCCCTTTTCCTGTGCATGAAAGTTGCCTGGTAACTTTCCTGTTAGTTGGAGAAAAATAATTAGGGGGTGGGGGGGGAAACCTGCTCAGGAAACTGCAGAGGAATGGATTAAATGCTGCGAAGAGCTGGGGCCTTTGCTTGTTTTTAGTGAGGCTCTCAAAGGACTTTCTGAACATGAAGGGCCAGATCATCAGCAGGTGTAAATTGGTGTAGCTCCATTGAGGTCAGTGGAACTGTGTCCATTTACCTCAGCTGAGCATCTGCCCCCACATGCCTGATCCTGCAGCATTAAAGTGTGGGAACTGCACCATAGAGTTCAGGAGCAAGCCCTCATTAAGTTTCACCACTCCTCCCCGGGAGGCAGCAACCCTTCCCTGCCCCCTCCACCCCCAACTTTATAGATGGAGAAACTGAGGCACTGAGAGGCGTTGGGACTTAAGGACCATTGCAGAGCTGGGAAGAGGACCCAGGAATCCTGGCTCCCAGGCCTGTGGTCTCCACACAAGAGCCTCTCATTTAGGGGGAAGAGTGCTTTTGGAGCCCCACGAATTTCAGATGGAGAAACTCATGCCTCTTAGTGGAATAACTATGGGGGTTTGAGGTTCCTCCAAGAGGAAAGGCCCTGGCGGGGAAGGTGACGGATGGCGATTGTCTCTCTCTGCAGATGGTAGACGTGCACAAGGAGAAAGTGGCTCGTCGAGAGATTGGAACGCTGACAGTCTGCAAGAGGCCCCCCCACTACCAGAAAATCATCTATCCAACATATCAGGAACCCCTGGAAGCTTACTACAGGAAACCCCTCAACTTTAGCACCCTGGATGATGTTGGTCATGGGATAAAGGTCAGAATAAACCCCCCAGGTGAAATCCATCCGGATGGATCCCAGGTCACAGGGAGCTTGAAGTGACCACACTCAGGCTCCGTAACGAGAGAGGCTCTAGTTCAGTTGGGAGTTATTGGGATTGATGGTGTTGCTTACGTAGCAGGGAAGACTAAATCCACTGGAAGACTCCCTGGGTGAGATTCTGTGGCCTGTGTTATGCAGGTCAGGCTGCTAGATGATCACAATAATCTCACCCGGCCGTAGAAAAGTATGGTCATCGGTTTGAAAGTATTAATTTTGTTTGAGGTCCTCCAATTTTTCTTTGGGAGGCCAACTTGACACATCTGAAAAGGCCAGGTTTAGAAAGTGCTGAGCACCTGCTCTGGGAAAATCAGCCATCCTCAACATCTGGCAAGTCAGGCACTCTGAATCACGCATCGCCTCTGAAAGTCTTGGCCTATTAGTCTAAGGTAAAGAGCTCTCAGCTTCACTGAATTCTTCTTTATTCACTCTTCATAGTTTCATCTAGTCTGACGTCCTGTATAGCACAGGTCAGAGAACTGCTCCAAAATCATTCCTGGAGGATTTTCTTGTAGAAAAACATCTAATCTTGATTTAAAAATTGCCAGGGATGGAGAATCCACCATGACCCTTGGTAAATTCATCCAGTGGTTTAATAACTCTCACAGTTAAAAATGGTTTCAGAGTAACAGCCGTGTTAGTCTGTATTCACAAAAAGAAAAGGAGGACTTGTGGCACCTTAGAGACTAACCAATTTATTTGAGCATAAGCTTTCGTGCCACAAGTACTCCTTTTCTTTTTACAGTTAAAAATGTGTGCCTCATTTCCAGTCTTAATTTGTCTAGCTTCAGCTTCCAGCCCTTGGGTCATGTTAGACCTTCTTCTGCTAGTTGAAGTGTTATGGTGAAGAGTATGTAACTTTCCCCTTTGATCAAAGAGGCTCCACCATGTTTTACAGACATTAATTAACCCTTCAAACACTCCTGCAAGGTAGGGAATTATTATCCCACCACAACAGGTGGAAGACCTGAGGCATAGCGAGGTGAAGTGAGTTGCCTGGGGCCGCAAAGTGAGTCAGTGGCAGAAGTGGGAACAGAATCCAGAATTCTCCCAGAGCCCTGCTCTAGCCAGTAGCCCACACACCTCCCTGAATGCAGCCAACATTGCTGCTGATCCAGATGACGCAACAATCCCAATCCCAAAGCGTCCAATCCCAATGTGCAGTAGGGTCTTGTATAAAACCTGGGATGGATCTTGTGATGTCTGCCTCTAAGTCAGCCGTTCCAGAGTTCCAATAAAAGGGATGGCAGGGATTTTAACCAGGCATTACAATCCAGAGTCACAAGAAAATTGCTGTAGAAAACACTAGAGTCCAAATCTTGCTCTCATGACTTGGGCAACCTTCGTGAGTTTGGTGGGGTTGCGTGGGTGTATGTGAGACACACCAGGAGTTCTGATGTCTCATGCAGAGACAGGCAGACAGACACAGCGTCTCTAAGCGTTTCCTTTGTGGACAGCTAGAGTCCTCTGGTGAACCACAGCCCAGCCCTCCTCTTCCTCTTTGAAAGGAAAAAGAGCAGAGCTTGATGAGAGATGGAAGCCTTGGCAGGAGCTGGAGCCAGAGTGGTGCTGGTGTTATTTGCCCTAACCACTGGGCAACCCAACCTCTTCATCTCTCTGGGTGCTGCATTTCTGTCTCCCAGGCATGTGTTGCTCAGACTCTGTTGGTAAAGATCATTTGCCAAAGAAAAAGAAAATGGATTTGTGCCGTTTCCCCGCCTTTTTATATGACGTAGTAAAATGATCTGCAAGGGTGTCTTTTTGCTGCTGCTTATTTTATTTTTTTTGCCTTCCCTGTTTTTGATGGAGAACTTCTTGGTTGCCTCAGAGATGCGTGCATGTCACTTTCTCATCCCTGAATGGAGTCGGGGGGCGAGATGCTGAGCCGTTACCATGGAGCTTTGCTCCCCCAGGTTTACAATTCAATAGCCATTATACACTTTGTTGTTGTTGTTCTGAGACACCGACTTAAAATCCTTTCTTCTCTCGGTGACCCTGATGTTACTCCCTTGGTATCTGTAGTGTTATAATCCTCCCAGTTCTCCAGCTGCCCAGCGAGTTCTTCAGAGGAGAAGATGTCTGAATCCCTTCTGGTATCTCTTCTGAACGCAGCAAAAGTGCCACAACAAACCCTATTTTTTTCTCCTTTTGTGAGTCACCTTTAAGAAACCAAAAGAAAAAAAAAATCCCCATGCAGGAGGGTTTCATCAGCTAGGTGCCCAGCGATCTGAGACGACCGTAACCACCCGAGATCGAAACTGCCACAGCTAGCTTAATGCAGACACGGGAAGTTGTCTGCTCGGGCTCTCTTTTCCCACGATCGCCTCCGCTTTCTCAGCAGCGTGCTCGCCACAGCTCTAAGGGCTGCTTCCTCCACCCAGCTCTTGCATGCTTTCTGCTGCTCCCTGTGGCTAAGTGATCAGCCCCATTGGTCTGAAGGACCTTCTCGGTGCTATTTTGTGCATGGCAGATGTCAGACTTTTTCCCAATGAGCTTCGCTTCCGTCAAGGGAGCTAAATAAAGGCCAGATCTTCCGATGTGCTCAGCTAAATAAATGGCCATCTTGTCAAAGCATCAGCATGTACTGGCTGTGCATGAATTCATGTGACAGTCTGTTCCTTAAGGCCCGATCCAAAAGCCATTGAAGTCAATGGAAAGACCCTCCCCCACCCATTGACTTTAGATCAGCTGCTTAATGGTTCTGATCCATTTCTTTCTTGCTAATTCTGGTAGCCTGTGGGTTAATGTTCTCTTGGCTCCTGGCCCCTAGTAAAATGCTGCATTTACCGGAGTAGGAGCTTTTTCTTAGGGTTTGGGCTTGTCCAGTTTGTATTATTTTTCCCTTTAAATATTTTAAAGGGCAGGTGAATGTGGCACTGGTGACAGATGCTGGCTGCGTGGCTTTACAGCCTGGCTAGCCACAGAAAGATGTGTAGCCATGTACCCAATCTTGTCAATATGGTGGCCCAACCTTCTTCCACCTTGTCCTCAGCTCATGCCTCTTGATCCTGTTAATTTGGCTCTCTGCTGAGAGAGCCACTTTCTGCTGATCGCATGGATGCTTGTCCACCGGGAGCTGGGCTGAAACAGAGCAGATTGGGCCCTGAACAGACTGGGCCTTTGGATGCTAAGACCTTTTGGTTGCTCACTAGAACATGGGCTTAATTCCAACTCGGAGGTCACTGGCTCTGTATCCCAACTGCTTGAGCCATCCAATCCCAGCTTTGGGACAAGCTGTCTGGCCTGCTTGTTTTATTCTAGACCTCAGGCCAAGTGACAGGAAAATCTTTCCACTCTTACATCTTCCTCCTGAGCCTTTCAGATAAACTCATTCGCTGCACTCCGGCAGGCACGACACTTTATAAGAGGAGTCACGCACTAATACGGGGCGGCAGGTTCAGAAATACCCTAGTGCCTTGCTCAGCAGGAATGTCCCGAGAAAGTGAACAAGAGTCTGAACAGATCAAGAGGCCAGATTTGCCCCTGCTGTTGCTGTACTGGCTTAGTGGAGTTACCCCAGGGGAAACCCGGCCTTTTGCGTTCATGTGTAACAAGGTGTAGGACACTATCAGCCCAATGTTACAAAGTTTGGGCTCTGTTCCTCTGGAAAAGTGCCTGGCAAAGGGAGTGATGCACCATGTGCCAATGCTCACCATTTTGAGGGGGCGTCTTTCCTGAGAGCCTTCTCACCAGTGGTGCATTGGCTTGCTGGCCTTGTCTCTTTCACTGTGTGTCTCCTAGCAGCTGCAGCTGTGTAACCTCCTCAGTGGATTGACAGCATGTCCTGTTTCGTTTTGATCTAGCACTCGGTGATGGCAGGGTACAAAAGAACATGCAGTGATGCATAGTGAGGAGAGTGGCAATTCTGAAATGCGTATAAATTTTTTTGGATGTTTTGCCTGTTGGTAACAGGGGAAAAAAGACTTCATCCTATTACTGGGGCTGCCAGGGCTGCTGCTCCGAAGCAACAAGATTGCAGGTTGTGACAGTTAAAGGAGGAGAGCATTTGCACTTGAAAGACGCTGTAGTTGTCCGTCTAACTTACTTTACACCTGTGTAGCCATGGCAGGAGACTCTGGATTCCTTGGGCGGTGTGGTGTAGCGGGAGCCCTGTGAGACAGGACTCCTATGTCAAACTCTGGGAGGGAGTAGGGTCTATTGGTTAGGTCAGGGAGCGGGAATTCTGGGGTCCTGGGCAAGGGAGTATAGTCTGCTAGCTAGAGCAGGACCTCAGGAGTCTTGGATTCCATTCCCAGCTCTGGCTGAGAGCATAGCACGCTGGCTATGAGAGATAGCTGGAAATCATGACTCCTGGAACCCATTTCCAGTGCCACCCCTTCTGACCCAAGCAGCTAGCCACAAATTGGGGTCTTGTAGGCTGTTCCAGCTGGAGTCAGGGGCCCTTTGATGCAATCTTGTGTAGTTACAAAGTCCTGATTCCATGAACACTGCAGGAACCAAACAACTGGAGATAGTTTCTTTGATTACAGCCCCAAGCCTCTTTTAGCCAGCTCCCCACTGTACTTGTCCAGGCTGTGCGTGTAGCTCTGTCTGCTTCTGTGTGCTTTCTTGCCTTGTCTCATCTCTCTCTCACATACACACCCCCTTACCCCAAAAGATCACCAGCAAAGCCCTCTGCTCACATAGTTCTATTTCCAGGGCAGACTTGCATGTTAGGAGTGGGGGCTGCTATAAAGGAGCTTAACCGTTTCTTAATACTATCTTAAATGAAGGGCGGTGGTTACACCCACTAGCTCCATAAAGGTTTAACCCAGCCTAAGCACTGGCTTTGCCATGGCTTATTTTGTGGCCTTGGCCAAGCACTTTACTCTTGCCCCTCAGAAGGTGGCATGGGATGGTTGGAGAATTCATGAAAGTTTGTAAAACGCTTTGTAGTCCTTTTTTCAGAGGCCTGGTATGAGGCCTAAGGCCTGAGCTAAAGTAACGGGCAAGACTTTGCTGATATAAAACAAAGTTAAGCTGTGAGCAAGAAGCAGGCCCTGCTCACAGAATCTGGCATGAAGAGGGCTGATGCTGCAAAAACACACATACCTAAAAGGTAGTGGGCACAAGTGGTGTAAACACGTGCCAGGATGGTACCAGAACACTCCAGCACAAGCACATTCCCCCTCAGCCTACAGGAACATGCTGACCCATCCTAAAGACAGGGTTAAAAGGATAATATGATGGATAGAGTTGTTTTGCTTGAACCAACATGTACAAGGTAATAGGCGGCACCTGGACATGTAGAGGGGTCGTAGCTCAATACGTCAGGAGTGAGGTGTAACTTGTTTGTATCTGTGTATAAAAATGGACCTCTGAGGGGTTGTCTTTGTCTGGCCTGGGGGGCAGTGGTAAATCCCGCCACTGACTGAGCCAGTCCATTGTCAGGGAGCACATATGTACTAGCAGAACTGTAGACAGCTGATCCGGGGAGCTAGAGACTGTGTTTCGTTTGGCAATAAACCTGGATGGGTGCCTTTGTAACTTATCGGCATCTGTGGTCGTTGGGGTTTCTCTTGGGGTCTGCTGTTCCAGCTATCTGCGCAGAGCCAGGCCAGCACATAGAGGGAACACACCCACTCAGCCGACTGTTATCAACATTGGACAGAGCAGAGCACCACATTGGTGACGTCTGACAATATTCCTCTGATGAAAGATACAGGAAATACAAAGCATTATTATTATTAGTGTAACCCTGCTGCCAGGTGGAGCTGGCAGCAACCATGGCCAGGTTCAATAGCTAGGGGTTCCTTTTCAACAATACAACACAGAACTGGCTTGAGCCCCCACCCAGTGACCTGGGAAAATTATACACCACTCTGGGCACCTCTTGGAGGCAATACTTCCCCACTCACAAGCACAGAGTCTGAGGGTAGAAAAGAAACGTTTAATGAAAGGAGGGAAGTCATCCGACATTAATCAGGGAGAATGCCACAAGCAGGATTCATAATCATAAAACTATGAGCAGGACACCCACCCCAGAGTGTGTGGGGCAGAGCCTTCCGCCTCATGTTCTTGAGTTCTACAACCAACAGTTCCTTTTCTGTGCCCCTCACTGCTCCCTCACCATACCCCACTCACAGTGGTTGTCCCGGTCAGAGGGGGCCCAGGGTTTAGAGATGCATCTGTGTGAGTTCACCTCCCACCTGGGGAAGAAGGCACCTTGCTTGCACTTGCTCTGGCTGGCCACCCTGCCAGATGCAGCTCCTTGCCGCCTGGCTGCCCCGCCAGCTGTGGTTCCTCACCAGCTGCATGTTTCCTCGCCAGCTGCTCATTCTGCTCACTGCCTCACTAGCCCACTCATTGACTGTCAGCCACCTTCTGCTGCCACCTGCCTCTTCTGCCTCACCTGACTGCAAGTCAGTCTCTTAGTAATTTTCAGCTCTTTGCAGGCTGGGCGGAAACATTGCCCCATGTCAGGTGATTTCAGCTCTCATTTGAGCCCTTTAACATAACAAAGAGGTTCCTAATGAAGCCTGTTTAGCTCTGTCATTGAACAGTGGAGAGGAACAGGTTAAACCAGACGGAGGACCCTTAGAGAGAGGCCACACCTCCTGGCTGAGACACCTGTCCCCACCTCTCTTTCTTTCACAGGGCGCTGGCATTCGAGCCCCTGGCTTAACAAGGTGCTTTCAGCTGAGGGTGGACCCCCTCATTTTGGACAGGTTAAGCACAGTTCTGCTCCCCTTTATTCATACAGTAATGACAACAACATTGGTAACAGCATTTCACTACCCCTGCATTCAGTACTAAAGTGATTTGTATCCCAACACCAGCCAGAGTTGATCACTTTGAGCAACACCGCTTTATCCGCTGGATATCTAAGCAGAGTGGGTGTGTTCATGTAAATACAGTTTGCTTCTGAAGTCTTTCCCCCTCCCAGCTAGCTGTCAGGGGAGAATTCATTCAGATCCATCTTACATCAGCAAGGCCTTGTTGTCTGTGTAATCTAGAAGTGGAGACTGTTGCAAGCGCCCTGGCACAAATTAATTCGTTTCTCTCTCAGGGCCCTGGCAGCACTGGAGGGTTTTTTGCACTGCCACAGTTGTACCACTGCAACTGGTAAATTACCTGGGCTAGTTGCACTGGAAAAATCTCCATGTTTTGCGCCCGTGCAGTGTGTCTGCATTATGGGTTTGCATTGGTATCCAGTGCAAATATCCCTCGTTTCAACAAGGCTTAAGAATCAGAATGATCTTGGCCACACACAGCTGTACCTCTCTGTGGGAAACCCCCCCGGATTGGTGAGTCTTTGTAAACAAGCTTCTCAGGGTTTGTTCTCTCTTGGCAGCCACTGATTCTTTCTCTCTTTTTCCCTGGCTGTAGGACCAGAGCACACAGTTGTCACGAACGGGAACCTTGACTTGGAAAGGATCCAAGACATCATCTGGACAGTCTACGGGCACCCTGGGGTGAGATGGCACCACTCTCTTGCACTTGATGCCTGGCAGTCCCACTGCCCTACTTTCCGCCCGCCATCCTGTCCTAAAAGAGACACAAGCCTGATAAAGAGGTGGCAAGTTTCCCCCCTCCCCACTGGAAAATAAACCTTTCAGATTAGCTCCCGAAAGTCTGACATCTGCCTGAGACTGCCCCTTATGCAAATAATGGTCATGCTTTTCACAGTAAGGTTCCATTTATAAATGGTCTAGAAAGGGTTAATTAAAAATTGATAGATGCTTTACTAAATGGTTGATCGTTTGTTGTAGTGTCCATTAGGTCAGGAGGTTGCTTTTAGCCATGGCTTATCACCCTCTGTAACACCTACTGGTCTGCATATGCCATCTATAACAGATTCTACTCATGTCAGTAACATGCTTATGGCATCCACAAATAATTTATGAACCCTTTGTAAGCATTTGTAGGCTGTTTATAAATGTGCCCTGACTAGATCGTGACCAAAATAATACTAGTCCAGACATAGCCACAAGCCTTGCAGCAGAGCTGGTCAAAAATGAAAGTGGTATTGTTTGTATTTGTGTTCCAGGGAAAATGCTGAGATTTCAAAATTTACTTTCATTCTGCATTGGGATGATAAAGTAGAAACCTTGGACTCTTTTGCGAGATGATATTCCAGAATATTTCATTTAGGGAAAAATTCCATTTAGACCTTATCAAAACGTTTTGTGTAGGAGATTACAGAGTAACTATAACATACATTATCAGATACAAGATGAAACGTTTCAACTGCATCAAAACAAAAAGGTTTCAATAATTTTCTCTTGGAAATGCAGACAACAGCAGAAGGTCCCCAGAGCAACATTCTGATTTTTGCCAAATCAGTATTTCCAAACATTGGAAAATCTTCCTCCAGCTGTGCCCTGTAGTGTCATTAGTGCAGCTGTAGCATTTGGGGGAAGAACTGTTGATAAAGGAGACGCTGGGCTACATTCACAAAAGGTCTTAGGCACCTACCTGCCACTTCAGGCACCTAAATCCCAGAATCAGGGATTCACAAACCCCTGCTCAACTGCCCCCGTACTCTGTAAGTGACCAGCATTGCTCGGCACCTACGTTTCTGCAGGGAAAGTTCCCACGGCACCGAGGATTCTTCATGAATGTAGCCCACTGCCTTTAAGCGACCCAGCATATTGAATGGGCCTGGAGACTGACCTCCCTTCTCGGGCCCTCCAGAGCCCTATCAATGCCATGAAGTTGGTGCTTGTTGCAGAAAACGGTCATCATCCAGTTTCCTGGTGTCCGCAGGGCGTGGGTGTCAGGGTGAGGCACACAGGTGGAGTCCAGGGGAGGGGAAAGGTGGTTTTGCCCCTGCCTTTGCGGGACCTGGGCTAAGGCAAACAAAGGGCCTCAATTTGTCAGGCTGAAAGCGCACGGAGTAGTTTTAATCTAAGGTGAAGATTTTCATCTCTGGGAAGCCGGTTTGTTTTTTTCATTGGTTGTCTGGTTGTGCGGAGCCCTGCTCTATGCAAAAGGCCATTTGCTGTTACTGTTTCTGTTATGGGCAGCACGGGACCCCTTTGTGCTTGGGGCTGTACAAGCACATAGCGAGACACAGTCCCTGCCCCAGTAGACTAGACAGGCAAAAAGTGCGAGGGGAAAACAGAGGGGGGAAGTGACTTGCCCAAGGTCACCCAGCAGGTCAGTGCTAGAGCTGGGAATAGGACCTAGGTCTCCTGGGTCCCAGTCTAGTAATCTGCCCACTGCCTCACACTGATTCTCTTTATACCATCATGACAATCTAACACTGAATCACCACAGCTCTGGCATTGATACTTTCAGGCCAAATTCAGAATAAAAAAGTCTCGCATTCAGCGGAGAAAGGGCAATGAGTTTCTTCCCCAAGATGCACTGGGGATCTGATGGTGTATTCTGTGTCTGTCCTGACTGCAGGAAAAACCCTCGTATCCCAGAGCCCATTCAACTGCCTGTGGTTCCGGAAGGCAAACTGTCAGCAGCGTCCTCCACATCATCTTTAACATCCCTCAGGTAGCTTGTGTGAGGGCTCCGGCTGGGGGTGTGGGCTCTAGGGTGGGGCCAGAAATGAGGAGTTCAGGGTGCAGGAGGGGGCTCCGGGCTGGGGCTGGGGGTTGCGGTGAGAGGGAGGGGGGAAGGGCTCTGGCTGGGGGTGTGGGCTGTGGGGTGGGGCTGGGTATGCGGGGTTTGGGGTGCAGGAGGGTGCTCTGGGCTGGGACCGAGGGGTTCAGAGGGTGGGAGGGGGATCAGCCCCTGGGGCGCAGGAGGAGGTCAGGGGTCCAGGCTCCAGGCAGCACTTACCTCAAACAGCTCCCGGAAGCGGTGGCACATCCCCCCTTCCAGCTCATACGTGGAGGTGCGGCGCTGGCCAGGCGACTCTGCACACTGCCCCATTGGCAGGTGCCGCCTCCGCAGCTCCCATTGGCCGTGGTTCCCGGCCAATGGGAGCTGCGGGGGCGGCGCTTGGGACAGCGGCAGCATGCAGAGCCCCCAGCTGCCCCTACACATAGGCGCTAGAGCAGGGACATGCTGCTGCTTCTGGGAGCCACACGGAGGCACGGCAAACGTGGAGCGGGGTAAGCTCCTGCTCCCCAGCTGGAGCTTGAGGGCCAGATTAAAACATCTGATGGGCTGGATGCGGCCCGTGGGCCATAGTTTGCCAACTGCTGGCATTCACTCCTTGAGTATGGTTACATACGATTCTGTCACTCTCTCATTTATACCCACAACAGTTCCAGTGGAGCAGCTGGCAACATCAATGCCAAGGTGCCTATCGCACAATCTATGCCGCCCTCACTGCCTCTTCCATTGGACATAGACACAATGCCTCCTCCTCCCCCTCTGCCTCCTGTAGACATGCCCGAACCTTCACCCATCGGTTTTGAGATGCCGCTCCCAGATGTCCCGCCACCATTCGCCATGCCAGGTGGGGCTTGTATTTGACACAGCTTATCCTCAATCAGCTAGCAACTAGCATGGTATCCCTATGCTGAGCCGTGCTGGGAACTTTGCACCATCAGTGCCCAAGCGTAGCACTGGGTTGTTACAGGCAGAACTGGTTGAAAGAAGATAGAAAACAATTTTTTGGGGAAAAAGATGAAATGTGGAAGTTGCTTCCATTTTGCTTCAAAGCTGGTTTTTCGGTTAAATTTTTTTACACAAAAGTGTCTGAAAAATTGTGAATTGTCAGAACATAACGGTTTCCCCATGCCCACCTCTTTTGGCCACTGCGTGCAATGAAATGAGTGAGCTCTAGGTTTTATCATCATTGTGACTCTGTAACCTTTTCCAAAGTTGGGGCTGTTTTTGAAAGTGACAGCATGGCACAAGGGGCAAATGAACCCCCGAAACTGCGCTCCGTAACTTTTCGAAATAGCCCCAGCTTTTCCACATAAAAGTGGCAGAGTTTGAGTTTCATTTTTCCTTTGGCCATGCAATAACCTTCCCCCAGCTGAGGAAGTTCTGTAAAAGTTGAGTGGCAAAATAATGAAGAAAAAAAAGAAGTGGGAGAAAATAGAATAAAATCAACCTAGATATCACTTATTTGATTGTATTCAGTAACAAAAAGGGTGGAAAGACTGAAAATTCTTTTTTTGTTTTGTTTTATTTTATTTGAACACTCCCCCCCCCCCCCCCCCCCAAAAAAAAAAAAAACAAACTCAAAGTTTTTTGGTTTGGAAAAAAAATACCATTACTTGTTGAACAAAAATTTTGTCCAAATCTCTGGGCTCAGCTGTTGCCCCTAGGACCTCAGCAAATCTCCACTTATAGGGTGAAATTGCTGTATCAGGTGCATGCACCACTTAACAGAGGAGGCTTAAGTGGGACCTATGCAGCACCTAGCCCATGTGCTGGCTCTCTGTATAGGGGTCAGTTGCACCCCCAGTGAAGTTATTCTATGGCGGAAAAACAGATATTCACTGGAGGAGGCTTCCCTAACTGATCTGTTTGCTCCAGTCGCACAGTGGTCAGCCCCACGTGTTATGCTTTTTTCTAAATCATGAATCAGGCTCCCACAAATTGATAAGCTTAAAAAGAATCCCATTTGGGTTCCTTCTGATTTCTGGGTTGGAGGCTGAAGCGGCCCTGCTGTCAAGCTGTTCTCCACCGCCACGAATCACCATTTTTTAAAAATGAAAGCTGTGTGTCCCGGTTAAGATGATGCTAGGTGGCGGGGCTTCCAGACAGCCACCGAGTACCAGGACACTTGGGATAAAAACAACCACGGCTGGCAACGCTTGACCTCTGTTTTGCGATTAGAACTTCATCCCCCTCGTGATTCTCTGGGGATTTTTCTGCAGATGCCGACTTCCTGGAGCTCCCCCCTCCGCCCCTGCCAAGCTTGACAGAGTTTGAAGATTTTGCCCCTCCTCCTCCTCCTCCTCCTCCCCCCCTGGGTACAGAGGAACCTGCGTGGGCGCCAGACAGCTACTTGGAGAAAGGTATCTTGTCCCCCCGTCACTCTCCCCGCTTCATTTGGTTGCAGCAGTGGAGTGGGCCAAGCTATCTTGGCTTTAGCAAAGCTTTTGACACGGTCTCCCACAGTATTCTTGTCAGCAAGTTAAAGAAGTATGGGCTGGATGAATGCACTATAAGGTGGGTAGAAAGTTGGCTAGATTGTCGGGCTCAACGGGTAGTGATCAATGGCTCCATGTCTAGTTGGCAGCCGGTGTCAAGTGGAGTGCCCCAGGGGTCGGTCCTGGGGCCGGTTTTGTTCAATATCTTCATAAATGATCTGGAGGATGGTGTGGATTGCGCACTCAGCAAATTTGCGGATGATACTAAACTGGGAGGAGTGGTAGATACGCTGGAGGGCAGGGATAGGATACAGAGGGACCTAGACAAATTGGAGGATTGGGCCAAAAGAAATCTGATGAGGTTCAATAAGGATAAGTGTAGTGTCCTGCACTTACGACGGAAGAACCCAATGCAAAGCTACAGACTAGGGACCGAATGGCTAGGCAGCAGTTCTGCGGAAAAGGACCTAGGGGTGACAGTGGATGAGAAGCTGGATATGAGTCAGCAGTGTGCCCTTGTTGCCAAGAAGGCCAATGGCATTTTGGGATGTATAAGTAGGGGCATAGCGAACAGATCAAGGGACGTGATCGTCCCCCTCTATTCGACATTGGTGAGGCCTCATCTGGAGTGCTGTGTCCAGTTTTGGGCCCCACACTACAAGAAGGATGTGGTAAATTGGAAAGAGTCCAGCGAAGGGCAACAAAAATGATTAGGGGTCTGGAACACATGACTTATGAGGAGAGGCTGAGGGAACTGGGATTGTTTAGCCTGCAGAAGAGAAGAATGAGGGGGGATTTGATAGCTGCTTTCAACTACCTGAGAGGTGGTTCCAGAGAGGATGGTTCTAGACTATTCTCAGTGGTAGAAAAGGACAGAACGAGGAGTAATGGTCTCAAGTTGCAGTGGGGGAGGTTTAGGTTGGATATTAGGAAAAACTTTTTCACTAGGAGGGTGGTGAAACACTGGAATGCGTTACCTAGGGAGGTGGTAGAATCTCCTTCCTTAGAAGTTTTTAAGGTCAGGCTTGACAAAGCCCTGGCTGGGATGATTTAATTGGGGATTGGTCCTGCTTTGAGCAGGGGGTTGGACTAGATGACCTCCTGAGGTCCCTTCCAACCCTGATATTCTATGATTCTATCTGAATGGGAGGGGGGCTACAGCTCACCAGCCGACCACCTGGTCTCATTTATTGATTAGATTCCTTGGGCGCTGATAGCCTAGTGGCATGTTACATTGTAGCCTGCGACCTAGCTCATCGCTTGTAAAGGGATCAAAGGGCTAATACTCCTCCGCCCTCCCCTGTGCTTCTGAGCATAAGCAGATGAAGAGCTGTGGTCAATTAGGGAGCATCACCTGATGGATAGAGTGGGCAGCATGGTCTTGTAGGTAGGGCTGGGACTTAGGTGACCTTCCCAGTTCTGCCACTATCCTGCTGTGTGTGGACTTGGGGAAAACCCCCTCCCCCACAGCCTCCGCTACTTGAGTTTCCCTATCTGTGAGGGGGTTCTGCGCATGAAAAATGCTGCATCGGGGCTAATGATCTGTAGTTCTGGAGCCTGTCTTTGCCACTGCAAGGTGGAGCGTCTCTCTCCTTTCACAGCTTCCCCCCAATTCAGCATCGGGTCAGGAAACCCCATTGCGGAGGAAGTCCTGATTTAAACCGACCTGCTCCCACCCTCTCACTCTCTCCTCCAGACCTTTTTGGCTGACTTGCAGCCCGGGCAGTGCTTTCTGACTGGGTGCAGGCTTAGAGCTCCCACCCATGTATTTTCACAATGATCCTGGCTCTGTTTCCTTCCTTCCCATTCTGAGCTCCTCCTTCCCCTTTCAGTGGTGACCCTCTACCCCTACACTCAGCAAAAGGAGAACGAGCTCTCGTTCCCAGAAGGAGCTGTCATTTACATGACCCGGAAGTACTCGGACGGTTGGTGCGAGGGCGTGACCAGCGAGGCAGAGGGGTTCTTCCCAGGCAACTACGTGGAACCTTTCTGCTGCTGACCCTGCGTGGATGCAGGAGATGACACCACTAAGGACCAGCAGATGTTTTCCTCCTTCACCCTTCAGGGTTAATGGAGCCCATTCTCTCTGCCAAACCAGGGAGGCCACCTCCACTGCCCCTGGCTACAGAATTTATCACTATCCATTTACAATGCAGATTGATCAGATTATAGATTCCCCATTCCCCGTCCTGCGCTGGGGTACAGACAGACCCACCTCCCTGGCAGACGGCGACAGGGAAAGGTAGCGCTCCGCATCCAAGACTTATCAGGAGCAGCTTTGGAGGCCCAAGAAAGTGCCCTGCTTTGGCGCTGCTACTTTCAGGTCAAATCTTAGTCCCCCAGAGCTCAATGCGAGTTTTTCCATTGCTTACCCCTGGGGACCAGGCTTGAAGCCTTTAACCTGGAATCCCTTTGCTTGAGGCTTTGATTATTCTCAGCTCTTTTATTTCCACCCCCTGCACGTGCACCATGATCAGAGGATCCTCTTCCGGGTTCCCCAGGGAGCCTGCAGCCAGTCCCTCCCCCTCACCAGAACGAATGCGGCTGAATAGCAGAATGCTGTTGACTAGCTGGGAAGGGAGTCCGAGGTAGGCGTGTGGAGTGCTCGGAGATTCCCAATGCTCAGGGCTGCTCCAAGGCTTCCCCGCTCATGAGTCCTGCAGTAGCTTAGAAGGTGCTGAGCAGGCTCTCGTGGGTCTAGGGAAGAGCCTTTTCCCCAGCAACTGGGATAGTGGTGCCCAAACACGGAAGCAGCAATGGGCAAGAGACTGAATCTCAGTTCCGACAGAGTCACCTGGTGACCTTGGGCAAGTCTAGTTTCTCAATTTGGAAAGCAGGCACAGTGCTTCCCTGCCTCACAGGGCTGGGCTAGAGAGTAACGTGGGCACGTGGAGTGCCTTTGGCACAAAGCGTGATGGCAGAGCGACCGGCAGCAGCCTAGACAGGCAGAGACACGAGAAATGGAAAAACAACTGGGGAAGGTGGTTGGAAGATAAGAGGATGTTTTGCAATGAGCTTTGGCAACGAGACTAAGTTGTATAAACCAGAGCCAGTGGATCCAGGCTCAAGTGCACAAGAATAGCCCCCTTGTTTCCGGCTGTGTAAGGATACAGAGCCATGTAGTACCCTATCAGGTTGCTGCTTGGGGTATTATGAGCCTTGTCCCCAAAATGCAAATGTCAGCAGAGCTGCAGCTTCTGCTTTGCCTCCCTTGATTCTTTACTGAAAAATGGCAGCTGATTGCCTTGAGGTTTAGAGTGAAAGAAAGGCAGCTCTGCCTTTAAGCCCCACCCAGGGCCTTGCCTCATGGAATTTTGGTGGGCAATCCATGCTCTGAATGCGCTGTGGGGACCCACCTCGCTGACGTCTCACAGCACATTGGAAGTAGAAAGGGAGGCTCATTGAACCTGGTCCCCTCTAATGCCAGGTGCTGTTGAGAGCATTAGTGAGCAGGTCCTCTGCTGCGTGCTGTTGCTCCTGCCTCCCAGCTCCCTCACTGCTTAGATAAAGGTGCCCACTTTTAATAAAGAGTTCTAAAAGCTTGTGTCTCCCCCGGCTGTAGTGGATGGGTGGGAACGTCAGCTGCAGGCTTGCCCCTGCTTAAATATAGCTGAAGTGTACCAGCAACACACCTGGAAACGAAGGGTTAACGTACCTGCAATACCCTTTGTATTTTTTTTTGTTTTAAGGTGAGGTTTCCAAAGTGGGGATAGTGGATCATGGGTGGTTTATGGCGCTGGCTCTCCACCTTGTTGCCAGCTGCAAAACTGCAGACAAAAATAATGATCTCTGGGCCATTTAAAGCCTCCTCCAAGAGCAGCTGGGTGATGAGGGAGGGGAACTAACCATATACCTCCCAGCTGGGTGTGGGAATGGCAAAAAAGGGAGAAGGAATCTTCCAAACAGCTGGCTGTATTATTTTCTGCCATGGGCACGCTCCATAGACCTAGCCCTACTCAGTCACTTTGCCCTTGGCCTGTTCTGTTTACCCCCCGCTTCATGAGCGACAATGAGAAATTAACACGTTTGTCCTGGAACTCGGGTAGGTAAGTGATGAAGGGAAACGTGGGGAAAAGGACAAGCTCCAGGGTCTACTTAGCCTAAGAGCAGTCAACAGGAAAACTCTCCCCAACTTGACAGATGACCAACAGTTACATCACCTGTGCAATGTTTGCCTTTGGCCTAGTTGTAGCACCTTGGGGCCCCAGTCAGAGACCAGCCCCTTTGAAGTCAAGTGTTTACAGGACTCAGCCCCTGGTAACACTTGGGTGGGTGTGTGGTAGCTTTTAAATGAACAGCATCATTGCAAGGAGTCAGACTCCACAGGAAAAGCCAGTGGCTGATGGAAGTGGATTAAACCTCCTAACTGCCACGTTTACATCAAATGGTCCCAGTGCTAAAACACACTCACCCTTCCCTTCATGAGGGTATTTGCCTCTGCACCTGCTAATTAAACCCATTTTACAGAGGGATCTAATGAATATGCCAAAGTCCCAGTGAGCCAGGAACAGATCTCATCAGAGGCCCTGCTCCCTTTTCCTGGACCACAGCAAGTCAGTCGACATAACTACCAGGCTTTGCCAGGAGTAAGACACATGACTAGTGGCTAGTGCTAATGGGACCTCTTCCTAAGCTAGTACTCTGGTTTCTGGCACCAGGAAACATCATTTGCTCCCCCTTCCTCCCCTACAGAGAACCCGCCCCCCCAGCCTACCTTCCTTCTTCTGCGTCCTGGGCAGCAGCCCATCAAAGATGAGTGACTAGAGCCAGAGACTGCACAAATGGCTTCTCCAAGTGCCACCCACACTGCTTTCAACAGCCCCAGGGAAAAGCTGAGAAAGTGAAGTCACAAACCTGTAGTCGCCTGGGCATGTGCATATAGAGATATATATTAATATATTTATGATAGTTAGGGGCAGGTGGGGTGTTCGTTTAAATGTCCACATCAAAATACAACATGCTCAGCAAATTCCAGACAAATGTTTTGTACCTGCTGTTGATATTTACTAGATAACGTTCTGATATTTGTTTTAAAAAATTCCATGGCTTTACGTTCCACATGATTGGAGGGAGGAAGAACAAACAAACAAACTGCAAAGAGGAAGGGAAGCTGGGGCAGCTTTGGTTAGTTCTGTACTGCGCAGAGTTTTGGTCAGGGCTATCGGCTTTGGAGTAGACAGGCTGCAGTTGATCCCGGTAGAAGCCACCATCATGGGCAGTCAATGCTGCGGCTGCCCCTGCCGAGTGCAATCACGGGGTAGTTAATACTGCGGTTGCCCAGGGAGAGAATACTGACAAGCAGAGTGGAGAGAGGCTTTGATCCTCTAGCAGTCTGACCCCCCAGGGGATGCTAAACACCACAGGTCCCCTTGCAATCAACAGGAGTTTCAGCACCTCCAGGGATCAGGCCAAGGAAGCGGCTCCATCCTAATATAACCCCCATGCCACGATCTGACCGGTGATTAGTCTACGGCACAAGGAGAGCTTGGTTTATTCTGCTACTTGCTGCTCCACGTGCACTGGAAGCAGCCCGTAGCTTGGGAGAAATAGCTCTCCTGGGTGCTGTCCACCAGGCATCTCAAAATTGCCTTTCAGGAGCTGCTTCAAAGCACAGCTGCAGCACTGCAGTTCAGACAGGGCAGTGGTTAGGCTAGATTTTAAACTAGTTCAATAAACAGGCTTTGGGATCCAGTATGGACATGGGCTACTGAGCACAAGCAGCTGATGAGTAGGAGCTTCGGCTTTGGAAATCAGCTGTGTGTGTAAAAGCATTTGAGGAGGGATGCTCACTTTCATGCTTAAAATAACAACAGAGAAAGATGTTTAAGTTACTATGGAGAAATTTCTGCCCTGGGGGAGAAAATGAAAGCAAAATGGAAGCAAAGTGTAAGGACTTAACCCTGACATCAGGACATCCAGGAATGGTAATCCAAATTAACTAAAGGTGCAAGTTAAAAGTAGATTAGTTAAACTGCATAAAACCCCTGTGTGGGCACACTGATTCAGAATTAAGGTGGCCTTACTTCACTTCAGTTTAATTCACGTTTGAATTAAGCTACACCAAATTAACGCCACTTTAGTTCAGAATGAGAGTGTCCACGCCGGGGTGTAATGGGATTTTAAACTACTCCACTTTACTTTCCTGAGTATGCTTGTGCAAACAAGCCTCAGAAATCCAGATTCAGTGGAATGTTTTAAATGCAAACTAGTTATATTTTGGTGGGGGACAGGGCTTTCCAGCTACATATCACACACTGCCCCCTACATCTCATTATTCCACAGCCCTTTCCTACTGTGATCTGCTCAGAGGGGACAGGGCTGGGGAACTGGAGCCTTGGGGGATTTTCAAAGGTCAAAATGACAGTGATGTGCCTAATTCCCATTGGCACTTGTGGAAAATCTCACTTTTGCTTGCTTAGAAATGTGCTTCAGTGAACCACCCGTAATTGGAAACCTAAATCAACGGTGTCCTCCTAACCCCACACCTGAATCTGGTACCACACCCATGTCTTCTTGTTGTAGCCGCCTTCCTGGAACAAGGGGATATGGGCAGGGTGGCTCTATGAATAGAAACTGCCCCTGATTAGGCTTCCACCTGCCTCCTGGACAGAGATGAGCCCCGACAGGGATTCTCAGGAGGTCAGTTTCAAGTCACCTGATGTGGTGAGAAGGAACAGGGGGGTCATGCAGGGGGTGATGACATAGGTGGACCCCAGCTGCTGTGATCAAGTTACAGATTCGGAGACCTCTGCCCTGGGGCTAGCGGGAGCATGGGCACTTCGTAGCCGCATGAGAACTAGTTTGTTTTTGTTTCTTTACAAAAATTAAAGAATCATTTGAAAAAAGAATTCAAGGTGAAGGTAAAAATAAAGATCTTGGATGAACACCCACTCTCCTGAACGGGTGTGCAAACTGCATAGAGAACACCTTGTCTCCAGATTGGGAGGAGGGGGGAGAAAAGGGGATCCAGAGAATGTGCTTTTTAAAAGAAAAAAAAGTAGGGGCCGGGGGAAGAAATCCAGAAGTTCAAAGAGTCCAACTTTGCAAAGCTAGAAATGGAGTCACATCAGCCACTGGGTATGGAGATGCTCCTGAACCTCCCACTTTCCTGCTGCCCTTGAGGCAGCTTGGGGGCAGTGTGCAGGAGTCTCTTCTGAACCATCAGTCCCTCTCAGCATTTCCTCTTGAGGAGCTCCTGCAGATAGCGGCAAACTTCTACAGCCGAATCCCAGGGAACCACACTGGCCTGGAAGGCTCTGGGTTGCTTTTGCTCCATCTCCTGGGTCATCTGGTGCATGGGGTAGCCCTTCCGCGGGAAAGCAATATCTGTCGAAGTCAAAGCCACGGAAGGGCAGAAGTCATTGGCCCCGTCCCCGACATAGAAAATGCTCTCAAATTCGGCTCCCTCCTGGGCCCGCTCCATCAGGTACTCAGTGAGGATTTTGCGCTTACACATGTTTGCGGGGCACTGGGGGCACTTGTGAGTGTGATAGGGCCCCAAGGTGAGGTAGCCCCTCTTGTCAAACCCAGAGGGGTTGCTAAAGATTTTGCGGAAGAGGGAGTAGACACCGGCGGCTCTCAAAGTGCACTCGATGCCAAACATGTTGGCGTCGGAGAGGAGGATGATCTCAAACTGGTCTTGGTTCTTGGAGAGGAACTGGAAGAGCTCTGGCATCCCAGGAGACAGCGGGATGTTCTCATAGACCGTTTTGTAGTTCAGCATCTTGACCCCTTGGTCTCCCAGGTACTCGAAGACGCGCTGCATGTACTCGTTGTAGAAGCCATCCCGGAAGGTCTGGCGGATGTGCTCTGGAAGCGCCTGGCCTGGAGCGGCCCTGATGATGGAGTCATCGCTGTTCTCATTGATGATGGTCTCATCAAAGTCAAAGGCTAGGAGGTATTTTGGAGGCTTGGGGGCAGCCATGCTGACACCCTGTGAGTTGAACCAATGAGACATGTCAGTTACTCAAGACAGGGGAGAACTCTTTACCCCAGACACCCTGGTGTTGTTAATGGAATCAATCTGACATGGGTTGAGAGCGATCAACGTAACGCTATTTAGGTAAAACAGGGCCATCTCTCCCTCTCTCTGTGTATTTTTCTATCCTAGCTGGGGACCTAATCTGTTCCTTGTATATCCTAACCCTGACCTGAAGAGGCTTACACGCCCTGTAAAGAGATCATTTTGTCACTCTTAATCCTGGACTTCCCTGCCCTCAAGACATGCCGAGCGGCGTACTGGACTCCCTCTCACAAGAGGGTCTAGTTAACCCTAGGGCGGCACTTTGACTCCACAAACCAGCAGCTGTGTCATCTGTGTGTATCTGCCTCTCAATAAGTCCCAGTCACTGTGCTGGGTTTACATGCAGAATAGTACGTGGGGAGGTTGCCCCTTAGAGCTGCCAGATTTGCAGGCTCACCCTGGCCTCCGAAAGCCAAGCTAGACTCTTGGGCATCGTCCTGCCACTGAGAGGTTCTGCGGGTCGAATTCTGCTCCCACATGCAACTTTCATCACCTTCAAGTTCTGGGTCTGATTCACCCCCCAAGTCATTCCATTGACACCAGACATGGGCAGTGGCCCTCATGTCTTCAGTTACCCAGGTGCAGCCCCCAGTGCCTCAAAAGAAGAGGGGCCCAAGCATAAGGGAGCACAGCGTCCAGCCCTGCCATTTGAATGCAGCGAGCAGAATTTTGTTGTGGCACATGAGACAGGACAGGACAGAATGCAGCTCAGTGTCCCAGAGCCACATCTTCTCTGTAGGGCTAAGTTTAAGTACTGAAGTGGCAGAACTGCGCTTGCTTGGAACCCCGACTTAAAACGGGACTCTGCAGGGGTGAGACTCTGACCATGTGGAGAGAGACAGGCAGGCTCGGGGCCTTATTTCTGTCACCAGAAGCCAGCAGCTGTGACTCTGAATATGCACAGGGTGAGTCGATCAGCTGAGCCAGCTTTGCAGCCACTTTTCAGGGCAGGATTGCGCACCAGTGACAGGGGATCTTTATTAAAACAGCTGCTTCATAAGCTGGAGAGGGAGGAGGAGACAGCCCTGTACAAAGAGATCAAAACGTTGGAGAATTGCACTAACCTTAAAAAGGCATCGCAGCCCAACACCCTCAAAGCACCCGTTCATTTTAAGGACACCACTCGGCAAACACCGCTTTTCCTGCTGCTACAGTTTCAGGCTCCCTTTGTGCTGGTCACATCACTGCAAACCACAAGGGTAATTTGGTTAACAACCACTTTGTAGGCCCCCTTGCACTTTAGGGTACTGTGTCAAAAGTCACAACAGATTGCTCCAGTTCCAAAGGAAATAATCTCCCCTCCCTGTCCCGGATGGAACATGCTGGCCTCCAGCACCAAGAACTATAACAGTTATTGTGCAGGGGAAGGGCTGAGTGGGCAGGGAGAGATTGTTTAACGCAGCCGATCCCTCTTAACCCCTTCAGATGCTAAGGGCTTGTCTACACTGCCTGGCATAGGTACTCCAGAATAGCTTTCCCAGGTGGAAACACTCTTCCCAAATAAAAGTGACTTTATTCTGTAATAATTACTGTGCTCACAAGAACAACAAGTATCGGGGGTAGCCGTGTTAGTCTGTAGCCACAAAAACAACTAGAAATTACTGTGCTCACAAGAGAAAGTCACTTTTATTCTGGAAGAGTGCGTCCACATGAGCTATTCCAGGATAGCTATTGGAGAACAGTTATTCTGGAAGAGCTATGCTGGTCCATTTCCCCATGTAGACAAGCCCCTTAAGCAAAGTGAAAACCTAGGGGAGCATAAAATGCACTGGGCTGTGCACTTACTCTTCCTGGGTTCTGCTGACCCCTTGTGGCCGGTAACTGTAAAAACTGGGCTCTATAAACAGTCAAACCTGCTGGTAATTTTCTGCTGTACTGAGCACCTGCAGCTCCTATTGGAGTCTAAAGTATAAATGGGTGCTCAGTGCTCCTGGGAAATCAGGCAGCTGTTAGCCAAGGGACTGTTCTGGGGGAAGTGAGCATTTGTTGCTCAAGAATTCTGATTTGATGGGGAGTGAGACTTCAATCAAATTTTGTCGGCTTCCTGATCCAACTTTTTTTTTTTGGTGGCCTCAAAATCATTTCTTTTAAGTCTGTTTTGTTCTAAATCCAGTTTCATAGATTATTCTGGCCAGAAATTGTACTAGGAAGAGTTTTTGCCCTGAACCCTTGTGTTGAACTAATTGCTGCTACTAGAATAAACAACACAAGTTATTTGAACACCTGAAGGTATTTTTAAGTGTAAAGGGACATGGACAACTAAAGTTAGGCTCTAAATTGAAAAGTTGTTAAAATGAGTTTTCCTTGAATCTAGAAACCAAAGTCGTCTTTTCACTTTTAAAAAGATAGCCATTGAAAACATGGCAAGCATTCCTGCACCCAATATTGCTGCACTAAGAACTTGAAAATGAAACTGACTATAAGCAAAAGTGAAACTGACCTCCTTGATTTTCATTGTCCAAGAAGAGAGAAATGCAAAAAGTAAACAGTACAAACATGAAAAAAGTCATTTGGATTTTTAGAAATTCTTTTCTTCTGAACAATGATTTAATACTAGTGGGTAGCAGAGGTGAGGAAATGTTTGTTTACATCTGATTAAGTGGACAATGTCCCTTTAAAATAGCTTCTATACATGTTCAGCAGTTATAGGCTATGCTATTTTATACCAACTTTCCATTCACAAAATTCTAACCAGTGAGAGTCTCTGGAGAGCCAGGGCCAAGAATTAAATGGTGGGGAAATAATTTCAGTCTAAGCCCAAAGAAGGTGTTAAGATATCAGCGTGAAAGCGGCAATGAAAAGGTGTTGGAAGGGACGTTAATATGTCTCCATAGAAAAGAGTTACTAGTTAAGCTACACCTAAGGGAAAATGGGTCAATCCACACAGATGTGGGAAGCAAACCCGTGTTTTGAAAAGCTCTGCAGGTGCCCAATATTTCTGTGTTTACTCACATGGGTAAGGGCTGACAGATCAGACCCTCGGATTCTTTAAGCTTAGGATGTCAGATTACACACGGACATTTAAAGTCAAGAAAAATAATTACAGTAAATAAGCAGAGTTTTTTTTAAGTCACGCCTTTCACTGGAAGATCTCAAACACCATGCACACAGTTGCCTCCTTTGAGCTAAGTGTTGTTACACAGCAGAAAAGTCCTGGTTCAGCAATAAGTGAAAACAATTGAGTCAGTTAATTTCTATTCTTCATCCCATCCATGAACAATAGTTCTGAGGTCTGCAACAGTGTGAGCCAAGGAGATCACACATCGTGATTGTCTGCTTGTCCACAGAGGAGTTCTTGGAAAGGTGGTTGCTTCTCGGGAGATAAAATTTTTCTCTTGGACTTCCAACTTTATCTTCCCCTTAAATGTGTTATTTTCTGTGGAACAACTTTTGAAATTTGTGGCCACCATGGGGAGAATTCTAGCTACTTCTGATGAAGGCTGCACCATCCAAACATATGTAACAATACACATATCAACCTCATGTCCATGAAGGTAAAACAGTGCACTGGGATCAATAAATGTTGATACTCACTGCAGTGTCACCCCTCCCCCATTTTTACATAGGGGCAAGTGAATCATGGACACATTTAGGCTGAAGTTTTCAAAGTGCCTAAAGGAGTCAAGTGTCCAAATTCCACTGAGTTTCAATGAGATTGGGTGCCTAAGAGAGGCAAGCATCTTTGAAAATCCCACTCTAAATGACTTGACCAGGGCCATATAGGGAGTTGGTAGCAGACCCAAGAACAAATCTCCTGCAGAAGTCCTGGCTCCGGCTTCTCCTCTGTAACCACTAGCCCACACTCCCTCACCCCACAGCTTCATCAGAGAAGCTAGACTAATAATACATATTCCTAGCAGGATGTGTCAAGGTGCAGGGTTAGGATCACGTGGGAATAGAACAGACACAACATGGGGCCGGGGAAGGTGATGGCGCACCTAAAAATGCTGTAGAAAATGGTGAAGGCAGGTCATACCTGTGCAGTTAACTTGGACACTTGGTGCCATATCATCATTTTTGTAAACAGCAACGCATTAAATTTCCCCTCCAAGCACTAGCAAGGAGACGTCTCTCAGAAATCCCCTGTACTGTGATTAACAGAACCCAGTGTGGGTCTTTTTGGGTGAGGAGAGGGAAGGCAAAGGAACACAATCTAATCTCTTAAAATTAGCAGCAGTGTGGCCTAATGGATAGGAAACCTGGGTTCTATTCTTGGCTTAGCCACTGGCCTACAGAATGATATTGAGCCTCAGTTTCCCCATCTGATGATACTTCTCTTCTGTAAAATCTTCCAATTAAAAGGGCTAATTTTTATTATTAACCCAGAGGTTGTGAACATCTTCCCATTCTCATATTGCTAAATGGGCTAGGTCCTGGCTAGCGTGAGAGGGAGGGGAATGGTACGGAACAGGGGTTCATGTTATGGAAGGTTTGAGAACCACTGACTCAGCCAGTTTAGCAATGAATTAAGATCACGTCTGGTAAAATCCATGTCAAAAGCTGGCTCAGTCTGTGAGCAGGAGGGGAGACCAGAGAAGAGAAAAACACTGTTTAACAGGAGTCTCTCTTCCCTCTGTCCTGAATTACCCCATCTAGTAAAGCAATGAGCATGTGTAATGTCCGGTGGGTGAATCAGCAATGCCACATGTACAAAGCATGTGTACATGGACACGAGCCATTGGTTTTGGATTTGCCAGGGGTTAACCACAGAGAGAGAGAGAGCGTGAGCGAGCTGTCCACAACCATCATCTTCCTTCACAACAGACTCAGGGCTTGAACCAAAGGTTAGTCTTCCTCCTTGCGCCCCACCCCTACCTTTTTGAAGCCAGATGTTGGTTTGGCTGGAATCAAACAGGCCCACGTAGCACCAGCTGCTGGCACTTATTGGTCACGCAGAATAATAGTGTGGTCAGTGTTAAAACAGAAGGGAAATGAGGGCCTATGAACTCACAGTCAGCACACTACTTAGTTTTTTAGGCTGGCATTTCATAAGAACCCTGCTATGCACTGGTACTGCAACTTTTATCAAAAGGCTCTCAAGTGGGTATTACCCCTGTAAGGAAACGGACGCACAGAGAGATGAAGTGACTTGCCTAAGGACACACAAAAGTCAGTGGCAAAGCTGGGGATAGAATCCAGGTCTCCGGACTCCCTGATCCTGTACACTAGCCATTATACCACATTGTCCCCCATTTTGCCCCAACAACAGCCTTGGGCTCCTCTTGAAGGTAGGCTGGATTGCTGTTAAAGAACTTGTGGGTTTTCAAAACTTTTAACAACTGTTGTCAGCTTTCCTTTAAGAACTTTCTGCTTCGTGGCTGGGCCAAGCATGGAACCTTGGGTAACACTCTCGCCAGAACTATTTATATATTGCAATGACTCACCTAAGGGCTGCTTCCTGGGTGGTTGTTCTTCCACCTTCTGTAAAAAAAAGTAGTCCCTCCAAAATAAAATAAAAGTGGCCGTACTTCCTAACATTATTCAAAGCCTGAATGTTGAAACAGAAAATAGAACAGAAGTTTGCTTATTAATTGCATGAAATACTGTTTTTTGGAAAAGGTTTAAAACAAAATTAAATTTGGGGCAAGGCTCACGGTGCAAAGTGGGGCAGCCATGGAAGGAAGGGTCAGGAGGAATCTGTCTCATGGAGAGGAACTGGTCATTGGGGGAGGGGGCAGATGGAGCTTCTCCCCATGGTCCCTCACCTTTTTTCACCCTGGTGTAAAGAGAGGAACATACAGTACCTCCAAGCCTTCCTACAGGATCCTCCTGCATTCACTGGGGGGAAGAAAGGGCCAGCAATACTCCTCCCCTTGACTATTTCAATTACAGTGCATTCTGGGGAAACTCTGTGCCCTCCTGTCATTCTTGTTAACCGAGGGCCTAATCCTGTAAAGGGGTAGACATGTGAACCCTAGGAGTCGTAGGAGCAGTCCCTCACCTGCGTAAGCCTTTACAGGATCAGGCCCATAACTAATAAAAATCACGTGAAGTCAAGCCTGCATAGGATTTACGCATGTGCCTACGACTTTGTGGGATGAGCCATTTATTTCCAGAATCTAGAATCGCTGAACTTTGGAATCATCTCAGGCCATATAAATTTCCCAAGGAAGAAATTAATTAAATAAATAAATAAATAAATATACAGACCATTAAACGTTAAGTGCAATTGTTTTTCGGGATTTAGTCACACTGTCCCTGTGCTATCTATTCTCAACTCGCTTTGGTCACATCATGTAAAACAAAAGATTAAGACTAAACAAAACTCTGTTTCTCCTTAATGCTTGAAACAATGGGGGAGCTTTCAGGTCCTAAGGGGCCACAGGATCCAGATCCTCAAACCTACTTCCTCAGGTATCCCTCACAAAATCAAAATCGAGACAGAGAGAAGCAGAAGACTACTTATTGTTGCCCCGAATGCAGGCAACTGAAAAACCATATGTCCTCCTCAGCCCGTTGTCAATTACACTAATATTTTTACATGCTAGAGGACTCCAAAGGTGACCAGAGAGCCTGTTTGCCTCACTGGATACTGTTGCTTTTCAATTTATGGGTGACAAGCACAGAGGCTTAGGAACAAGATTTTCAAAAATAGGAGCCTAGAATTAGGTACCTAACAATGGAATTAGGGTTGGATTTTCAAAGGTGCCTATGTGACTTCGGAGTACAAATCACACTGAAAGTCAACACATGTGCCTTGTGCTCTTAAGATGTCTCAGTGCTTTTGCAAATCCTACCCACAGAAGGGTAAGGAACTAGTCTGATTTTGAAAATTGCCAACACCCACCAGCTTAACTTCATCAGAGGCTGTTGGGTGTTCAGCACTTTTGGACATCGGGGTAACATTTTCAAAAGCATCTAAGTAACCCAACATCAGTGGGTCTTGGGTGCTTTTGAAAATTTTACCCTAGCCTGCTTATTTAGGAGCCTACATAAAGAATTAGGAGTCTAAGGTTTTAGGCTTCGGACCAAATGATTATAGTTTGTTTTACTTCGGCTCTTTAAGAAACTGAACACCATGACCCAAGCTATCTGGGAACTGAATTCCCACCCGCCCAGATGAACAACAAAAAACTCACACAAAAACCAAAATTCAACCCCCCCAGATCTGGATAGTTTGTGACACTACCAGAGGGTTAAACAGATTTGTGGAAAGCACCAGGTCAATGCATTATCAGGGTTACATTTTTAAGATGCCCCACAGAAAATTAACCACCAAAATATTACATTAAGCTCAGTGGCTTTTGCAGCAAACATTGAGGCTACGTGTTTGATTTAGTAATAGATCTAAAAGTGCCTATTTCTCCAGTTTTGGTGTCATGTGCTAGATGCCTCACAGGGAAACGGAGGCATATGTCAAGTTGGCTCAATTTTGAGTGGCATGTCGCTTGCCCTTCAGAGGCAGCACTATCTGTAAAGCTACTTTAAAACATGGTCTTTCCAGTTCGTAATATGTAGCAAAGTTACTGCCTTACTTTTTAATTTTGACATTGTGAGTTTTCTTTTGGTGCTTCATTTTTAGGGGAGGGATTTTAATTTACAGCGGATTCAGTTTAGTAGGGAGCTTCTACACGTAGTGTTCACTGTTGATCTCTCTTTTAAATATTCAGTACAGTTTGAACTATCTATTCCACATGCACACAAAATCAGGCCAGATGGCAGCACGTTTGTGGGAGTCCCACAGAAATGCCTGACCCAGAAAAACCTGGAGAAGAACAAACAAGAGGGAGGGGGAAGGGAAGCAGGGAGTTAAATAAATAAAACTTTGTATAGCAAAGTCTGTATTTGTATTATATACTCCATAAACCTGTGGGACACCCTGCTACGGAAAGAGGATCACCTAGGAGCTATATTTAAGGAGTCTGGAATAGAGTATTTTTGGACACATCTCAGTCCAATGCTGTTCCTGTCCTCTCCCTACCTCAGGCTGAGGGATGAATATGCGTAGTTTGGCGGTACAGTGTTACTCACCTGAGGCAGAGGGCAATGGGAAGAGGCAAAGAAAGCAAAGGAGAACAGGATCAGGAGTCAGAAAGGGTATTCTGGAGTGCATGTGTGTGCAGGGGAGGGTAATGGGGTAGAATGGGACTTTGGAGCAGTGAGTGTAAAGATAAAAGGTACCCGGAAAGGAGCAGGAATGGGATATTAGGGACATCAAAGAAGTCCAGACCAGGGCTGAGCCAGAGAGGGTGTCAGAACCCTGTACACATGGATTGGGTGCAATGAATGCAGCATTTGCAGCCCCTCCCCACAGAAAGTACTAGGGTCCTTCCTGGACTGGGACCTAGTTCATCAGCGTATTGACACCTGCTAAACGCTTTTCTCCAATACCAACCCCTGGATCATAGTTCCTGGACCCCCACCCTCCATCCTGGTATTGGTCCAACTCACAACCCATTGCTCCTAGGCACCAAGACCCCTTCTGGTACCAGTGCCAACTCCTGGTCCACGCTTCCGGGATCCCTCCCCCCATCTCCACCCTCAAAAAAAAAAAAAAATCCCCAAAACTTCTGGTTTCAGAGTAGCAGCTGTATCCGCAAAAAGAAGAGGAGGACTCTGGAGCACCTTAGAGACTAACCCATTTATTGGGACACAAGCTGTTGTGAGCTACAGCCCACTGCATCGGATGCTGTAGCTCAGGAAAGCTTAGGCTCAAATACATCTGTTAAAAGGTGCCAAAAAAACTTCTGTTACCAGTGCTACGTCCAGGCCCGCCGCTTCTGGGTGCGCCTCACCCCTCCAGTACACGAAGGGAACCAGCACCGCCTCCTGGCCCATTGCCCCCCGACATCTACGGTACCGGTCCCAGCTCTTGGTCCATTTTGCCCCCGTACCCCCCCCCGCCTTCTGAGCGCCCCTGTTTCATTCATGTCCCTTGGCCCGCTGTGCCCGTCCAGTACAAACATCCCCTCTCGGGCCCATTCTTCACGGTCCCTGTGGAACCCGGAACCGTCCTCCCCCCTGGCCGCCCCGCGCTGCTCCCAGGGGCCAGCATGCAGACTCACGTGCCGTGCCCCGGGGCTCCTTCCCCGGGCGGCTGCCTCCAGCGCCGGCCCGCTTCGACCCGGCCGTGGGGGCGCCAGGGGGAGGCTGCAGCTGTTCACGGCAGCATTTTCTTCCCTTCTCCCCGCCCCGCTCGGGCGCCTTGCCCCGGTTCGGGCGGATCAATGGGAAACCCGGCGCCTTGGCCTCCCGCTCGGACCGGGCGGGTTTGCCCTCGCCGCGGGCGGGCGGCTCGGCCCGGTCTCCCACCCCGAGCCGGATCTCCGGGCTCCCGCCGCCCCGCGAGCCTCGGCCCCTTTAAAGGGAGGGAAACGGGGCCCGGCGCGGCTCCAGGGGACAGCCGCAGGCCCCCGCACGTCACAAACGGGCCAGCCAATGGCAGCCGCGCCGGCGCGGATCAAAGGGGAACGGGAGACCGCCGCGGAGCAAGAGCATCCAAGCCCCCGCCCCGCCCGCCCCAGAGGCCGGGTCTCCGCCGCTCAGGCCCCCGCTGCACCGCCCGCCCCTCCCTGCGGATGGGCACCGCCGCCCCGGCGCAGGGATGCCAGCGAGCCCCGCAACCGGGCTGCCCCTCACGCACGCGAGCACGGGTGGGCCACGCTGAAGGGGGGCGGGGGCCCCCCCACAGAGAGAGGCCTCCGGCACAGGGCCCCCCCCCCCCAATGCCTGCCCGCCTGCGAAGGGGCCGGGAGCCTTGGCAAAAGGCAGCTAAACGACCGGAGCCTTTTGCACGGGGTTCGGCATGTCCCCCCACCTGGCTTCCGCATGTCCCCCACCTGGCTTCATTCGTTCTGCATTGAAGGTCAGTACAATTACAGGCGGGAGGCTGTCCTCGAATCGGTCCCCGCTGCAGCTCTGAAAAGGTCTGGAAACATCTGGCTTGCAGATAAGTGGGCAGCCTTGCCTGCTGTGCCCTAGGCCGGGCAGGGCTTTCCCTAAAATGCTAACAAAAAGAAAGAAAACAAATAAGGCAAGCCTAAACCCAGAGACTGCAGGAAGTGAAGAAAGCGACCTTAGCCTTTTTAACTAGCCTGGGAGGTGATGTGAACTGGGAAAAGGAGAGAGGCCAAAGTGGGTAAGAAATACATTGACTTAAAACTCTTTTGCCATCAGAAACACAGATGTGACCCTTGGTACTGTAGCGCTCTAGTAAGACATTTGTACACCTCTTGCGTCCCATCGATTTCTGTAAGCGTTAAATATAAGAGTCCAAAGATCTAAGTCAAAACCCTACAACATAGCTCCCTACAAGATAGCCAAAGATAAATGATAGAAGTCAGTGTGCTTCACTGTACGTATTTCTTCCCCACAATTCATCTCTTTTTTTGGTTCAATTTTAACTTAAAACGCCCAGTGAAAAAATTGGAGACCAAAAGAACACAAATACGCTCTCTTTGGCCAAACAAGTTGCCCACAACTGGGCAATGGTCTGGTATTAATGGCTAATTTTAGATCTCAACTCTGCCACAGAACAGGGGATTACAGAGAACTCTTCCAAATCAGTCTTCTACAACTGAAGACACATTAAACAAGTTTGTCCACACCCTAAAATATTATCAACAACGCTGTAGGCGGTGCCCTAAGTATCATCGTTGGTTTTGCAGGACTTTTTAATTTGTACCATGGGCTTCAAAGATAAAAGAGAAGCTTGTTCTAAAATTGGAAGGCATGGGGAGAGAGGGAGGGAGTGGTCAGAGCAACATGACATTAAAAACCAAATAGGAGAAGGTTACAGAAGTATTTTTATTTTCTTTTAAACCAAGCTTCCAAAAATGAAAGGACCAGACCAAAATCCAAAAGGATCCCCCCAAACAGCACAACTCCCTGGACCCTGAACCCTACGTTTTGATGGTGTCACTGTATTAGACAGCATACATTACACAAAGCGGTTCTGAATTAAGCTCGATCCCCCTACACTTTCAAACCTTGGCTTGGACTTCCACACTGAGCAAATTTCCCCCTTTTGGTAACAGGGGTTCAAGGTCCACAGGTGGGAGCCACATCAGGAGCCCTCTGGCAGCCAGGCTGCTGGAGTTTTGAGCACTGCCTTGATCTGACCCTGCTGTTAGCAAAGGTTAGGTGGCACAGTACTTCAAATGCTGGTGGCAGTTGATCCACACTAAAATTTCCAGCATTGCTACCACTAGTGGTAGTTACCATCATTGGCTGGTGTTGCCGACAATGGAAACTAGTGAAGACAAGTCCACTGACTCCCTTCTACACTCAACCTCCCTTACACTTAAGTGTAAAGGAGTCTAATTAGCATGCCAAGGAGTCAGAAGGATGTGTAAACTAAAGTAGTCAACCCCCTACTTGACTTAAACCCATCTGTTGGTCTCTTTTCTTGCTATACTCCTATTTGCTAGCCCCTCAGATTGAGTTACACCATCCTGAACTCTCACACACAGACTCCCACCCACATAAACAAAATTTAGGTGGTGTGTGTAAGGACCAGATTCACTACTGCGCTACATCCCCCTGCTAGTGGATAGCACCAGTGCAGGTGGCCAGTGCATCATCTCCACAGAAGCTCCCAGCGCAGGGGGCATTCCAGGAGATCAAAAGGAAGGGAGGGCCATACTCCAGGGTAGTCGTGTTTCCCAGAGATTTCCCACTGCTGCAAACCCCTAGAGAGCAAGTGACGACAGCTTTATCCTGCATTGAACTAATCCCTGGAAACCCCAGAATAGATGAGATGCAATTCATCTCATCCGTTCCTCTGTGAACACAAGAATTCCCTGTAATGGTGTAACAGGTTGGGTGCAAAGAGCCAAACTACACAAATTTACATTTACTTCTCTTTGAACTTTGGTCACTGTTCTGAACTTGTGAGAGCTTGTGTGTAGTCTTAACAACTCAGCTACAAGCCCAGAAACATTCATGCATGCATGTTCCTTCCAGCTGTTTTTTGCTAACTCTTGATCATATTTTCAAGTGGTAAAAACCGAGGCAGCTTTAAAGCCTGAATTGGTTCAGTGGCCTACAAGAAGTGAGTCTGGCACCTCAGCCCAAGTGTCCAACACAACTGGCATTATTAATTGGCTCTGATGTTCTCTCGGGAGAGGGCCCCAAAAGTGGAACTAGTTCTAGAGGCAGGTGTTCTCTACAGCACGGACCTGAGGCACACTGACAGGAAAATCAACTGCAGCTACACTCACATTGTATCAGCCTTTTTCCAGTACAAAATTCCCATTACCAATGTTTCTTTTACTATTGTCAGTGATTTGGCATCTGCATAAAATGTATATGTTCTTATGCTCCAGTGGCTAGGGCACTGGATTGGCAAGCTGATCTATTCTACAGCCAGTTTTTCCATTGACTTACTGTGTGACCTGAAGCATCTCTCCTCTGTGCTTCAGTTTCCCCATCAGTAACACAGGAAAATGCCTACCCACTTCTGTAAAGCACTTTGAAATCTATGGATAAAAAGTGCTATATAAAAGCTAAGTATTAGTCAACTGATGTAATGCTACAGTTAGATTTTCAAAGGTTCCTTGGCTGGGAAGTAGCCTCATGGTGTGCTGGGTTATTGAAAAGGACTACCTGCTGCTGACTTACATTGCACACCAAATGCAATTAGTATTGGGCTAATAAGCATTTCATTAAGAAGGGGAGAGAAAGAAAAGGGCAAAAATGAGTAAAGAACTCGGAGCCAGGGACATGTATTGCTAATTGAGCAGTGGTGGAAAGGCAGTTTGAAGACTACGGCCTACACATTTAAAGCGTAGATCCCCAAGAGCAACTACGGAAGCTGCTGGCTAAGAGTCTCAAGGCAAAAGCCACACAGTGTATAAGAATAGTAGTGAAGAAAGCATGTAACATAAGGCTATAATTCCATCAAGGGTGTATACAATAAAAAGAAGCTGTAATGGATTGTTAAGGGAATGCCAAGTTATGATTACGCAGCCATACATAAAACAGGCAACAGGAAAGGGGCCACTTATCAGCTGGCAGAGGTTTCAGCTGTGGTGGTACATACGTACACGCAGCAATACAGGTCAGCCCTGGCTAGCCAGTTTAGCCACCCTCACAGCAGTATGGTGATTGAAAAAAAGACTAATAAAGCTCCTTCTCAGCAATGGCAGTTCACACTGTAAAATAAGACCATGCATTTCTACATTTAATCAGATAGCCGACTTCTTGTGCATGCAGGTAAATTCAATCTTGTTCTGTAGTACTATCCTATCAATTCAAAACTAGGAATCACCCCTCCCTCTCTCTTTTGTCAGTTCCCCATAGCTCCCACAGGGTAGCACACAGCTACTGTTGTGATGGATGCTACAAAAAGCCTACGCAAGACAGACAGGTAAACTACATACTTATCACGATCCAGCAAGCACTGGTTGTAGATACCGCTAGAAAACCCAAGAACAGCACGCGCAGGAATTGGATTCAGTCTGTGCAATTCACAAGCGGTCAGACAATCCTGCTATCAGAACAGCTGCCATGAAAATGGATACAGTGTCACAGAAATTGAATTGTGGTGCTTTACACTGATTAAGAAAATCAGGTTACATGTGACATTAGCATCCCCAAAGGTAGGATTGTAAGCATTAATTTAGGAAGCAATGAAAGTTTAGTGGGATTAGTATGTGATAATTATTTTGAGAGAACGAAGCCCAAACAGTAGAGCTCTACTAAACCAGTCTGTTCCTTCACGCAGGGGTTCTACAACATCAACACCAAAGCAATGTGTATCCTCATTTTGTCTCCTTAGTTTGCTTGTTTTAGGGTCAGCAGTAGGTGTGGATCAACTCCACCCACTACCATCTTCTATCTGTTGCTCCAGAACTTATTCCTACTGCTTGCTCTCTCTCCTCCAGTTCAAAAGTGGATCCCAAATCCTAATCCCCTGTTGGATGCTTTCCCCAATCACTAGGACTTGGGAGAAACCATGAAGTACAATGGTCATAGCAAATGAGGAGTTAATGCAACTCACATTAAGTCAGTCAGTCTCCACAGTTAAACCAGCCTAAATCACACTCTCCATGGCGATCCAATGTTCATTTCACTAGAGATGGGGAGGGCAATCAACCAAGGATGTCTGTACTCCGATTATACAGAGATTAAACCAGAGATTTGTACTCGCTTTCCCAGCAGTATCTACAGATTTAGAATCCAAAGTTCGTAGTGCAATCCCACTAAATCACTGGGAGTTTACATACGGAGGAATTCTGATTGCACCTGTATTCAGAAAATGAGGGGGTTTTAATTTTAAACTTTAAAATAATTTAAAACGCTAACAAGCATTGGAATACATACTAGATACCTGCAGTGGAACTGGACCTAAGGTTTCCATCTAGCAGGGATTCTATCTAGCTAGAATTACTTCCATTTAAAAGCAGTTATGTGGAATGTATTACATTCCATTTATACAAATAACTTGTATACAAATGTGGAAGGTCACAATTAGTACATATGACTGCATACTACATCATTTGCGACTGTTTAGTCTGCTGAGTCTAGGAAAATATCCAGAAATAGTCCAACATTTCTTTGAATGTGTACTTATTGATATAAAGCCATTGTGTTTACTTGACAGATTACACAAATTATATATCACAAGATATAACTATTATTTAAACATGTAATCAACTATTTATTTCAACCAGTACACATTCAAATACAGGGTATATACACAATATATTTTTATTAAGAATGGTCTGTAATGAAGTACTTGGTATCAATGGCTACCTGCTCACATGTATATCTCAGCCCTGCGCATTGCAGAATGTACTTTGCATGCAGAGTATAGTATTTTTTAAACACTTCGTTTAGTTCTATATCAAATTACTTTGAACATTTCAAAAGGCGCAGAGGACTAACTATGATAAGTCATACAAATCATGCTTAAAATCAAGGTGAACAAATATACACGAAGCTGTATGAGTGTGCAAGATGTAAAGAGTTATATTCTGTAACATAAAAAGGTCCAACAAATATATCCGACTTTCCATACAACTTCACAATGAGCAGTTTCAGCTCCAGTAGGTATTTTCCTTCAGATGCTGTAATCACCTCAAAACAAGAAGATTTATACATGCTTATTTCTAAAACAAAAAGTCTCAACTCTAATTATAGGGTTACTGGCAGATTATAATATACAGTCCCTTTCTTTCTTGGTGATTGTATCATTTTCAGTTACAAATTTGCAACTAAACTGGTCAGATAAATAGGCTTCTTCAGTAGCCACACTGAAGATGCCCTCATATTGCCAAGGCATCCAGCAATATAAACAGTCCAGATAGAACAGGAAGTATAGGATAACATACCTAATTTAAATCACAAGGTCCATGTAATGAGACAGAAGAGTTATAAAAACTGGAATTTGACCAGGACACAGTAACTCATATCATATGAAAACTGCCATAGGATCTTTATGGCTACAGATGGTATTTGGTATTTAGGCTTATCTGATAGAGGGCACCATCAGCAGCTCTGAACTTACTAGACCTGAAACAGAGCTTGAAGTGGATATGGTTCCGGGTCATAAATTAAAATGTGTCATCCCTTTTGTCTATGGCTTTTGCCTTCACATATCAGTTTAAGTGGAACCTCACACTGAGGTACACTGATAGTATCTACCACCCGACTATACTGTATACAATCCATTGTTAGAGAAACCTTACAGAGAGAGGATCATACAAGAAACTGAAGAGAAAAATCTGTGTTCTTGTGATTAGAACATGGGATTGGGATTCAAGATATCTGGGGTCTGGTTCGCAGCTTTACCACTCACTCAGGCAAGTCATACTGTTTTCCCATCTATAAAAATGGGGATAATGTCTTCCACCCAAGAGTGCTGTGACGATGAATACATACATGAGCTGCTCAAATACTAGAATACTGAGCATCATAGAAAACCCTGTAATGCAGGCAGAGATTGTCTGCCACAGCAGTGCTTTCTAATGAACTTCCTTGTTTTTCTCACGTTTATGGAGAAAGGTGTCTAGCTGGCAAAGTCTGACACCAGATATTTCTCTCTCTGAAGGGCGAAAGGGAGAACTTTTAAACAAACAAGTATATGGAAGCCTACAAATCTAGGTGTCTCACTGGACAGGGATGCACACACTGCTTCAATTCATTATCCTGTGTTGAGTTACGAAGGCAAAAAAAAAGGCTGAATTCCTGTTGGAAAGTTGAACAGCAGAGTCTATATTGTAACCTGCTGCCTCATGAGCTCCTAATTTTGCAAGTTTTCTAGCGTGCGTATCCTGTGTGATTTCTGGATTGTTGTGTAAAGTGTGTTCAAGCCCACACATATGCAGACATCGGTACAGCACTTTCCTAGCTGTAACATATGCAAGAATCTGAACTGCTCTTTCTGTACCAGCATAGGTGACAAAAACAGAACTACAATATTTTATAAAAGCAGTTCCGAACTCCAGTCATCTCCTGCCCCAACCACATCTCTCTCAGCTATCGTCAACCTGAAGATGAAACTGTGAAATTAGGACATCAACAGTCACAGCAGCTCACTGTTAAGAACCTAAATTGATTTTCCATACAGTCAAGACTGAAATAAGGAAAAGTAATTATGTTTGATGGATCCTTACGGTTTTAATTTTTTAGTTCAATATTAGAAACAGCAGGGGCTCTTATCAGTATTCTGATTAGTCAGTGTCTATACTGCAGCTTCTCCACTGGTTACTTCTGACCTCTTTCTTTTTATTGCTTACTGGCACCAGCTCCCAAGTGCAATGATAGAGTTATCTGTAATGGGGGTGAGGAGAAAAAGTGGGAAAAATCTCATCTCCCCTAAATTCTTAAAAGAATCCTAGCTCTAGATGTTGAGTAACTTCTCCGACATGGAAATGTAGTTACTTTGCTTCTCTTTCTGTAGTCTACATGATGTTATTTATAGTATGACTTATTTTATTGGACCTGCAATTTTGGAACCTTCCTTTGGTGTTCAAGATATTACACAAATTAAATTAATTGATATTGTACAAAAGGGCCCAATAAACCTTCCCTCAACTGATTTTGTAAGAAGGGTTAGTGCAACATACACAGTAAAGACAGACATTTCTTTTTACTTTGAACATTCGCAAAATGTTGGTTACTGTACACATCCAAAGGCTCAGCACGTCAAACATTGCGAAATGGCACACCTGGTAGCAGAGACTCTCAAGAATAAAATATACAATGCAACAATGATGGGCTAATAAAACAGTAGTTTTTACAATGTGTAACTGTTATAAACTTTATTTTTCAGAGCCATGCTTGAGTTGGGGGAAGTGCACTCTCTTGCTAATGAAACTTAGCAACTGAATAAATATAAAAAGAAAAAACTCCAGTCTGACTGGATTCGTCCAGATGCAGACGTCAGAGCATTCGGAGGAAGAAAAATTGAGCCTTGTGAGCTAGTCTGAGACTACAGAAGAGGAAATGTGGGAACTTGCATATAATACTGGTGACCCAACAATGCCACTGGTGCACCATAAACCAGAGTGGACACCTCTCCACCCCATCATGGCATCAATCCAAAGAGAGGAGTATATAGTCTCATTCATTTGCAACCATCTCAACACCAAAAGCCCCTTGTATTTTCCACAGGGCGAGGGTTACTGCCAAACACCTCATCCTGGTATAAGCTCCAACTGGCCATCTTTGTTTTCTTGCTAGTATGATCAAGTGACTAATTCATATGACAAAGGGTTCAATCCTGAACATCCAATGGAATCAGTGGGAGATGTGTCCCCAACAACTACAGTTTACCTTTAGCTAGCTTCTCTTTAGATGCCATCTGTTTAGTGATGTTATCACTAAACAGTCTAGCTTATTGCTTAGATCTAGCTTTAAATGATTCACTGGATGTTTTTCTTAACATGTCAGAAAAGTCCAAGGAATTTCTGTACTATATCAACAAATCAATCCTACTATATACAAGCTGATCACAGTTTTAGTATTCTTGTTAATTGTAGATTTTACTATAGAGGTGGAATTAGAGAAATAAAGCAAGACAAAATCCTCTAATCATCCTTGACTAGAGAGAAGGGTAAACACTGCTCAGTATCCTCCGAGTCATATTAACATCAGTATAGCATCTCAAAAGGGGGCTGGATCAGAGTGCTTCTTTTGAAGAGCTTGCAAGTTCTCCAAGTTTAGTTGAAAGGGAAAGAAATTGAACAAGAGCAATGTTTCTTTTTGGACTGGAAATGTGAAAGCATTTCCAATAGTTCAGAATAATCCAAACTGGGCATTTAAAATCTTCATATTAAAGTACATGGTGAAGTACCCTAGCTTACTGTAGTCAACAGTATGAGAACACTTGAGACAGGTCAACACAGATACTGGTTCTTATGCTAAATTAGTAGAGGGTGAGTGGGAGACAATGGACGAGCTGTTTTACTTTATACTACTAACATTTTTTTCAAAGGACAGTTTCCAAACTTCTCAATGATTAGTTTTCTAACCCAGCCTCGTGCAGCTAGGGAAGCTGTGTACAAAAATTGTTTTACATTGGTGTTACTGTGTCAAGAAACACCTATTTACGGTCATATACAGCCAAATGTAGTCTGTTCACCACACATATGGGGCACAGCTCTTGTGAAAAGGCTGTCACTCCCAATACCCGACACAGTGAGAGAAGAATGAAGAAACATTTCTGAAGAATTTCATAACCAGAAGCAATTTCCTACTTCCTTGGCATTTTAAGTCAGTGAAAAGGGCAGCAGAATAAGTGGTGCTAATGATCAGGAGGCAGTGTCAAAGAGTTGTTCACAAGAAAAAAAATGGACAGGCCATTATTCTAAAGTTTAGGAGAATAAAAATCACCAAACCCCTCTTAAATCCCTATACTCCTTGAAAAGGCTCAGCTACCAAACGGAATAATCCAACATTGTCTACAGAGAGCTTTGTGGTTACTTTTCCAAATGCAAAGGGTGCCCCCTGCTGCCCACAAATGGCTTCTTCATTAAGCACCAGAATAAATGACTAGGTGGGCTCAAGCAGAAATTCCTGGGGAGAGCCATGAAATTAACATAATTCTCACCACTTTTTACTCAATCATATTAAAGATTAGCAATCACAAAATTATCTGATTGTTACCAGGAGCAAAATCATGAGTGTGTTTCTGAACCTTAAACCGGAAGGAAATTTTATAGAGAGTTCTCTGCCCAAAAGGCAACTCACTACTGAGTGGAAAATGCAGAAAATTGTTTTATCCTTTATTTTTAGCTCATCTTTCCTTCAGAGAAATTAAGCCTTCTACTAGTCCCATCATTTTATACAGTATTTGCCTTAAATTTTCAAGTCTCTCCTTGTGATATCAGTAACAATCCACCATGGACCTAAATGAAAGGACTAGTAAATTTATAGATTTTAAGGCCAGACGGGACCATCAGAATCTAGTCTAACCTGCGATTAATAATTCAAATATTATTCCTCTCTCCAACTTTTATCTGCCAAACTCTTAGGAGTTTGGTTTGCCTTGCAAAAACTAAATTAGGTGTTTATGTCAAGGAAAGCAAATGGTAGAAGAATGAATTCAGATGGAATTGATAAACCTTAAGGCTAGACTATTCTCAGTGGTCTAATTTACCCATCCAACTAACCCAGTTTTCAGTCTTTATTCCCCTTTTCAAAAGCAACTAAGATGAGTCCTTTTGTTCGGTTTCAGACAACACAGGGGTGAAGGGAATGGAAGAGAGCTGTTCACTGTGCAAACCCCAGCTGCAGCAGCCAAAAAAAAAATAAAAATGGTGGTTTTGTTATTATGTAGGAAGCTGAACCTGATGTGTGAACAATATATTATACCACTTATAATAAAGGCAGCTTCTATTGTACAAAATCAGGGTAGAAAAGAAAGGTGGTTTATTCAGAGAATTAAAAAGAGTGACTAGAAGATATTGGGGAGGATTGGGGGAAGTTCAAAAAGACAGCTGCATAAAGTGAACATCAAACTTTCAGCTTTTTGCAGCCATGTGGAGGGGCTAGAATCAGGTGAATGGACAGAGGAGTAAACGGTTGAGTGAGCAAATACTTCTGAAAATAAAGGAAAATTTAGGACTGCATCTGAAGATACTTTGGAGCTAGTGAAATAGGACAGGAGATGATGTGAGCTTACTTCCTGGAACAAGAACAAATTGCCTAGTAGCAGCATTCTGGTCTCCTTGAACATTAGTGAGAAGGACCGGATCTAGGAAGAACTGAAATAGGAAATATAGGAAAGGATTAAGATTTCTGCAGAAGTGTTAATAAATTACACAGGTTACTGAAAAGTGATTGGAGGTCAAGGAAAACTAGATTTCTGACTATAAGAGGAAAGCTAGGAAGAGTGATACAGGAGTTGGAGTCATGGGAAAAGGACTTTAAACCAGATCTATAGTTTTTAAATATTCTGTACTAGAAAGTTGCAGCATAATCACTATCCAAGAGTCAGAAGGGAAGAGAGATAAGATAAGCGGGATCAAAGTGTTGAGATGTGGAGCAGGGTGATGTTCACATGTAAATGATATTCAAAGATGAAACTATGAAAGAGAGAGAGGAGGACAGAAGACAGCTAAAAACAGCCCCGAGGCACTCAGTGGAAAGGGACAAAGAGGAAGCCACCCCATCAGAAATTAAAGGAAGATTTTGAACTGGGATGTGTTTTGGAAACCTGGTTTCCTCAATCAAGACACTGAAGGACAGAAGGGTAGTGCTGATGTTGTACGGAGATAGGGTAGAATTGATGGTAAGACACACAGAGGTTAGCACCAAATAGGTGATTCTATTACTTGAAATTCATAGCTGGTCCTTTGTCTGAAAAGTGCATCAAAACTACATTAAATTTTACTAGTCTGAGTTTTATTTAAATTTTGTGTGTCCTGAGATCATGGCAGAAAAATCAGGTTTTATCTATGTACACATGAAGGTGCTTGATATAAAGCAGCTAAACATGTCCCTTTTCTTAAAGGGGACAAAGTAAGTGTCAACTACTAGTAAAGACACCTATACACAAATCAACAAATAATTCCACAAAATTGTGGAATCAAGTAGTGAGCAAAAGGAGTAAATTAGAGTGTAGTAAGGTGAACTCTTTAGATGTAGGTTAGCGAATGATGTTGCATAAAAGGATATTTAAATCTTAATGAGTATTTCAGAAATGGCAAGATTTTGTGACAAGAGCTTCCCTATTTAATCCTTAGAAGAGTTAAACTATTACATATTCATAAATGTGGAATTTTGCTTTCTTCAAACTGTTACAATTTTGGATGATGTACCTGGAAAAAAAAATCAGAGAGTCTAGACTTGAATGTTAAAGTGTTTATCAATAGTGAAAACTGACAAGTTTTTGGCTAATGGCCTTTAAGGTCTAAAATGTCAAGAGCACCTCTGATTTGTTGAGGTAGTGTCCAGTGCAAGATGGTTATCAATAATCATACGTTACATTGCATAATAAAGATAACACTCGCATCCTTAATAAGGTTTAACTATTCTCCGTTATAACACACACATTTTTCAAATCGGAATGTAATATGTCACCCCAGTCTCAAATGTAGTATGCAAGTTTTCAGCTCAACAGCAATTTTTTAAAACCAATTTTGAAAACCAAAATCCATTTGCCCACTTTAAAATCATAAGATTGGGAGAGGGAAAGAGAGAGAGAAGAGCCTGAGATAGAGAGGAATTGAATAGTCATGACTGAAAAATGGTAGAACTCAAAAGTTCAGAAATGGGTTAATGTGCATGGGTAGTACAATTTTTCCATTCTCCCTCTCCCCCCCCCATTTTAAAAAAAAAGTATATTGTATTACACAATAGAATGGAAAAGCTTCAAGAATGCTATTACTTGTCTATCAAGTACCCAATATTTGTTATGGAAACTGCCTCATGTATTTACTTAAATGATCTCAATGATCTCTCAGGTAAATGTGTGTCTTGGGTATTATTTCCCCTCAAAGCAGCTTTTTAAAGACACAGTTTAATTAAGCCTCTATTTACAGACAAGATGTTCTATCTCAATGGGTAAAATTGCACAGTTCAAGTCTATAATTATGAGTTTTTTTCCTTTTTATTATTAGTCAATGGAAATTAAACCATAAAACATTTAAATATTTTTATGAGAGTTTGGGCTAAATTCCCACGAGCTAGGAAGTTTGGCATTACTGACTTAGTACACTCATGGGCCTCAATACAAGTCACATGGTGTTCTATCACGAGGTCCCTCAACCACTTTCAAATCAAGAGCATGTACGTATACAATCCATATGCATCATCATAAAATCAAAACTTTCAGTGCACAAACATTTGTCTCAGAGTCCAAACATCACTAGATAATATGACATATCACTCTGAAAAATACTTCTAAAATGCCTCTCATACAAATATTGTTCGTAGTTGCACCATTAATCATTCTATTTGTACTGCAAAGGGGTAGACAGTAATTCAAGTAACTCTTAGGTGGGAGAGTTACATTTTGTTGCTCACCTACTTGGTTAAAAACAGAAGTGAAAATGACATATGGAAGCGCTTGTGTTTCAGATGATATCACTTCAGTTTTACCTCCTTCCTTCCTCCATCAAAGAGCAACCACCACCAATAATCATTACAAGATCAACAGATTACAAGAGCAAACCAAGGAAATTCACAGTTCAGGGTAAGGTGCAACAATGAGGTGCATAGGAAGCTCCAGGAAAACAGAGAAGAATCCCACCTATCGTGGATTTAACTGGTGAGATATAGAGCCTTTCCCCGTTTAGGCTTGAATCTGGCTCAAGATACTAAATCTAAAATCATCATACCCCAACAACTGTTTCATAATTCATTAACAGTGTTAGTATTAGTTGAAATGGTGGTTTTTTAAGTGGACATCTATCCATTAAGAATTAGACTGACGCTAAACGTTCCTATTGTTAGCAGTATCAGCAAAGACAACCATTGTGTAGGCAGGCATAGACACAGAACTGCTCTCTCATCTTGAAAGACTGGTTTCCTTTCAGGTCAATCTGAGATACACACTGTATAGGGAAGCTTGCATTGCCACTGCCTTTTCTGAAAATAAATGACTTCTCTCTCCAAGACTAGCAGTTTTGTATCTATCATAAGCACTAAATTCACTGAAGGGGGGGGGGGGGGGAAGAGGGCAGCTGTCCCACTACTGCTGCTGTCTGACTCCTAACTAAGTTAATTTTGCGTGTGACAACTAGCGTTGGTCAATTTTGCTGAAATTTCTCCTTTAAAAATGCATTTAAAAAGTTCAAAAAATAAAATCTGAGTTAGGTTCTAGAAAATTTTGGACGGGTCAGAATTCAGTGCGTCAGACTTCAACAGCTGAGTCTGGATGACAGAAGCGCGCAAAACTTGGAGGCAAATCCTCAGCTAGTGTAAACTGCCTTTGCTGCATTTACTTCAACAGAGCTATGGGATACACGCCACCTGAGGGTCTGCTCCTTGGAGAGACTAGGCACTGCCACACGTATTTTAAAGACAAAGTAGGTAAAAATAAGCTTTAAACAGGAAATCAACTAGCCTACACTGGCTAAAAGCTTCCAAATTTGGAAAGGAGCCAGAGCTCTACAAATGAAGAGAAAGCATCTTGTGAATCCACATTTCCATGTTTGTTACATAGTTTTTTAACTCAAAAAGTATCGAAATCCTTTTCACTCCTGGATTAGCATCTGGGCTGGAATTTTCTCTAGGCTGGAACTTTGTTGAATTTTAATACCTCGCTGTCACCAGAAAATTGAGTAACAAACAAAACACTTAATATAACCTAAAAAACTCTTTAGGCCAATAAAATACACACACAATAAAGCTAACACAAAACTCATGCATATTTTTTCCCCTTCACAACAATGGTAAAGTGTTAGACAAATTCTTGTCATATTTTCCAGTATTGCGTGAACCCTGTAAATGAAGCCCATGTTAATATAATTTAGGGCATATGCCATGTTAAGAATATGCCAGTAGCCATGGCAAATCTCTCCTTTGAATTTTCACCTACCCTCGGTTACTGCAGTTTGTAGTTTTATGGTACAATATTGCAGCACTTTTAGACAAGCATGTCCGATTCCATTTTAAGTTTGTCCCCAGATGCTTACAGAGAATTTGTCACCACATCATTTTGTGCCATGACATTCTATTAAACATGTGACTATTAAGTTAATTTTTCCTAGCCCAATTTCACTTTCTTCTGCAGAATGGTAGAAGTTCCTATATCTCAGCGGCAAAATCAGCTGAAATCCAAGATGTACGATTACTGTGTACTATAGAAGAGAAAAACGGTCTCAGATTCTCAAATTTTGAATAGCAGCCTAATACTGTAAATTTATTGAGAAGAAAATCATTTTTAAAAACCGGATTACAATTCATTTACCAAGATTTTGTTTTAGCATTTAAAAACCATTTAATAACAGGCCTGACCACAAAATCGTGGCACAACAGAAACGTAGGGTGTAAATGTGACATGGAATGCATAGAACTTTCCTGGGCGGACATGCCACAGTAAATACAACAGTCATAATCATGAGTGGCTTTATCACCTAGAAGATAAAGGGTGTATATAAATATTGTAGAGAAACTTTTAAAAAACCCGCATTCTTTTATTTTTCAGAAATGGGGGGTACGTTCAGTTCAGTCAAAAATGAGTATGTTGGCCCAAAAGGGCCTAATTCCTGTTCCTAAAATTTCCTATGAAAAAAGAAAGCATTAACGATTAGATGGCAGAAAGTTTGTAAAATATCAACTAAGGAGTTAATTCCCAAAAGACGGAAAATTTGGTGTTTCAAAAAAATAGTGAACAGCATTAAACTTGAAGAAATAATGTTAGGAAGAATTCCCACCATTTCTGCTACTTTGAAGGTATCGATCAGCCAAAAAGCCCAGTTCATTAACTAAAATGGCAGTCTATTGTGGTCTTTGGAGATGGAGTTTGGGTGGGATTCATTTTACAAAGCAGCATAAAATAGTAGGAAACATTTTTGAAACTTACAGTACAATGGCCGTGGGCCTCTGTGTCTTCATTGAAGGTGGCAACAATTACCTAGATTGCATAATGCTGCTATATTCAATGTCATTTAAACAAAAATACAAACCTGAAAAACCACCACTCACTGATTAAAACAGATACATTTGGCCTTCCAAGCCCACCACCTCTGCACCAAACTTGTCATTTGCCACTCACTCAGTGCCTCACAAGATTATGAAACAGTGACTTGTCTAAATTCAAAGGTTTCTAACCTACAACTGTCAAACTCCGATTTGCCCAAAAAAGGGGACTATGAACCCCTCAGCATCATCCCATATTGTCTGAATGTGTCACGTTTATGGGACAGAGCTCCTTACTGTGGATACATACTGCATTTTCTCAGCAATGTGTCTACTTAAACACCATTTTCCCATTCAAATTTCTCCTCTTCTCATTCTTACAATCAACCAAACACCACATTTGTGAATCTAATTTAATTCCCCTCTCCTAAATCCAGGAATTTAAAAATAGCAATCTGAATGAGCAGCATTTGATATGATCCCAAAATTAAAATCATACCATAAACAAACATTAAAACCAGGCCTTCCTATATCAAAGAAGATATGCTTGGCTGACTTGAAATAGTTTATTTCCCTCTCCTAAGTCAGATATCTCACTCACCTGTGACTTCATAACTCATGAGCTGTTGAGTCTCTTCACCCAACGGGTGTGTCCCTTTCTAACCCATTCCACACTTCCATCTAACTGAACTAAGTGAAACTTCTAGAGCAGGAGTATGGTAACTCAATGTCTTTGTTCAATAAGCCTAAGAGACATTGTGGAAGGGGAAAGGTAAGGTTTAAAAACTACTAAATAAATTACATAAAAGTTCTGAAATCAACACCACTTCTGAGGCAGCCTTGCCAGAGACCTCTTGGGTCCCTCTCTTCTCTGAAGCACCTTTTGAGTTGTATGGATGTAAGAATAACTTTAACTATAGAAGCTATTTGCATCTTTTTAGAATCACGTTTTGATGATTATAAAATTTTATCTATTATACAACATAGGTCCAGCTACACTGAAAAAATTACACCGCTTATTGAAATACATTTCATTTTAGAAACAGACTACTAAATAGGTCTATACAAAAAACTCTAAAATAATTTCTGTAGTAAAATAAAGAGTGCGTTAGGAGAGCTACACAAACAAATTTTTTTGTCTTTCTCTATAATGCTTGATATACTGTGATACGTGGCTGGCTCACTCTGTAGCCAGCACCAAAAGCTGAAAAGAATTCATTACGATACACAGTGATACAATTAATGCTCTGTATTAATCTCACAGCCTTTCCGATTAGTACAAAGGAAACCAGGCCCATCCCCTCTTTGAGGAGAAGTCCAGGATATAAAAGCAAGCATACCTCATCAGCTGATATGAAATTATAAAATTCCACAAGTCTCAGTATTTGAAATTTATAAAAGTCATCAGTAGAACGCAAGCAAATTGGGTTTCAGTCCCTTTGGTTCCCCTGGTTCAAATGATCACTGCTGATCCAATAGAATTTTCTTGTTCGTTAACTGATTCATGGGAGTACCAGGAGAGATTGAAAGATCTTCACGAGCTCTCCCTCTGCAATTTCCAGGAGGGCATGTTTCCATGTGCATAAAACAGGAAAAACAGCTGGCAGGAGGCAAAGGTGTTAGTGGTGTTGTGCTGAAATGTTTTTTTCTGCCAGGTGTCGCAGAAAGTTGTCCTCACTCTGGCCTCTATGATTTAAAGGCTCACTCTTAAAAAGGGCTGGAGGTGGGGGTAAATGAGGGACTGGGGGGACTGGGAGATGGTGTGGGTGGTGTGGGTGAGGGTGGAGATGAAGGTGTGAATATGGATGCGGGATGGGACGTGGCGGGAGCGTGTTCACTGGGTTCAGGTTAATGGGTGGAGTTGGGGAGGTGGGTGTGTTTGCTACAGAAAGGGCCGCGGAAGCAGGAGAAGTTGTGGTAAGTGGGATCTGAACAGCAGGTGGCACATTAATGGGGCTTGTGACTCGGAAACACTTCTCCTTGTGCGCCTTGAGCATGTTGGAGAAGCGAAATCGCTGGCCACACACATCACATGGGTAAGGCTTCTCCCCTGTGTGAGTTCTGCGGTGTCTCTTCATGTTTGGGCGGCTGGTGAAGCTTTTGCCACAGATTTCACAGATAAAAGGCTTCTCTCCTATAAGACAAACACAGCAGCCAGTTAGGCTGAAAGCTTCTGCTAACAATTTACTTCAGCTATAAGTGGTCAATGAGTTGTATATTCCACAGACTACACTTTTCCCTACTTACGGCCAAAATAAAATCACAGACGACACTGCTTTCCCAAAAAAGCCCTCAATCTTTGTGAGCTCCTCTCCCAGCTTCATAGTATGGTGCATGAGGAGACCTCTAAAAAGGCTAGGTAACGGGCTTCTTCAAACCACAGTAACATGAACAGAAACATGCACCACCACTCATTTTTGCAGTTAAAATACAGTATACAGTGCAGTGGGAGAGGAGGTCAGGTGTCACTAAGCTACTGGATGGATCTGGGTTGAATCTGGCTTTAGGCAGAAGTTTGGTGGGACCGATACACATGGAAGACTTGGCATGTTTATGCCTTGGAGGCGTGTGCATTTCTCTTAGATATGTTCTTACCAGTGTGTGTTTTCATGTGCTCATCGAAGTACTGTTTCATGTTGAAGTCTTTGCCACACCACTGGCACATGAACTGTTTGTGCCCAATGTGGATGCTCATGTGGGAACGCAGCTGGTACTTGTACTGAAACCTTTCATCACAGTTCTGCAACAGACACAGACCTTGACTTTCAGGCATCTCAGGTAAGAAAGCAATGAAGCTGCAGAAGGGTGTTCTACTGTTGCATATATAGAAATCCAGAAGACCACCCCAAAGCAGTACACGCACCAAGAAAACATACAGTGAAGAGATGATTTTACAACAGCAGGGCATCTAGTTAAAAATGCATATATGAAACACACACACACACTATTGATACCCACAGTTTTGTTTTTTTTTTGGGGGGGGGGTCCATTATTAGGAGCATTATCTTGTGTACCCAGGAGGTACAGCCTTAAAGAGATTTATGAAAAATCAGGGCTTTGAAACTGCTCATTGGATACCTAATGGCCACAAGTAATATGAAAAATGACTCTTCATTTTACTAACAGGCTGTCTCATTAGAAAGCTCAGTGTATTCCTTGCACTGCTGAAGAGGGAAAAGAATGGACTCTTCCAACAGCACTTTCTCTGGATTCTGTTGAGTCCTATTGTAGTTTGGCATGTAGATGCCTGGTAAGTTTAGAACTACACCCTCCCCTCCAAAGCTAGGACAGAAAGGGATGTTTTGTTTCTTCATCCTCCCCAAAACTGATGAAAGTGATGGCAAGCTTTGTTTTCCTCCATTTTTCCTGAAGGTGCTAGGAAGAGAGATCTGGATAATTGGTCTAAAGATTTCTTCCTACCCTCCTTCATTCCTGGTTTTGGAAAGAAAGGGAGAGCTTCTTACCCGCTTTACCCTCTCACCCCCCAAACCAATACCCCTTTTCTGCCCCCATAGTATTCCCAGTAAAGGAAAAAATGACACACCGTAATTGGCTACTTCCACTGCAGCATTGAACCAACCCAGATTTCTTGACAGTTTTGCATTACTCCTATCTGCACTTATGCTCTGCTCTCCCCAGAGAGTACATTTTTTCCCAAAGCCTTAATACAACTGCATCTCATTACATAGATAAGACATTTTCACATTTGTAGCTACTAGATGCATATGCCTCATACCCTGTCAACACATCATTAAAGTGGCTGCCTCACCTCACATCTGAAAGGTTTCTCTCCAGAATGCTGTAGGGAATGCACTTTGAGCGACATACTGCGTTTGAATGATTTTCCACAGGTTTCACATGTAAATGGCATATCCTTTGTATGTGCTGCAACATATATATTACATTATGAAAAAAGGTTACTAAAAATGCAACGTAAACACATTACTTCACTCAAAATCTCTCATTCTGGACTCCTGAGGACAAAGACTGGTACTATAGAGGTGAATACTATCTGGTGTTCCCAGTACTACGGACGTACATTTTTAGTTTCCCTCTAACAGATTAAGCTAAGGAAGTTAGGTTACTTGCATTATAGGTTATATATTAAAAACAGCTTGTTGTCTTCCTGGTCTTAACTATCAGGCTCAGCAAATATAAGCAGCAAGAACTCACCAACCATGTGCTTCCGCACATGGGCCATTGTGTAGAACTTCTTTTCGCAGATCTCACAGGAGAACTTTTTCTCTGCATATCCATGAACAATCTTGATGTGCTCATGGAGAGACCAGAGCTTCTTGAATGATTTCTTACAGGAAACACACTGAATGAATGGGACAAACAAGGAAGCTTAATTCACAAAGAGTTTCAAAGCCACAAGTCACATATCAACTTGATCAAGGAAGAATGTCCCCAAAACAAGGAAGGCAGTAAGAATCCCAACATGTACTTCAGCCCATATTCACTGTTTAAGAATTTGGAAAATTTAGATACACTTACAAGGAGTACAGAACAAGGAAGAGTGGAATGAGGGAACAGAGGTTAACACACTTGCAGTTTGGTGCCATCTGCTGACGTCTCAAGAGCAGTGCAGCTACTATATTACAGGTTTCAGAGTAACAGCCGTGTTAGTCTGTATTCGCAAAAAGAAAAGGAGTACTTGTGGCACCTTGAGACTAACCAATTTATTTGAGCATAAGCTTTTGTGAGCTACAGCTCACGTCATCGGATGCATACCATGCACGGTATGCATCCGATGAAGTGAGCTGTAGCTCACGCTCAAATCAATTGGTTAGTCTCTAAGGTGCCACAAGTACTCCTTTTCTTTTTACTATATTACAGTATCCTGTTTCCAAAACCCAGTGGGATCTATAGTGTCAGCTCATGTTAGGTTGGACTGTCCAGTCAGATTCTAGTATTGGAAGGAGAGGTTTAGAATGTCCATATCAGGGTCCTTGTTCAGCGCCAGAAAGCAAGAAAACTTGCAGGCTTTGCATAACTCTTGGCATGGCTCTTTACTTTTCTTGGCAGCAGCACTACATAGGAAGAAACATCTTAATGCCAGAGCTCAAACTCCAGCAACAAGCCCAAAGGAGACAGCAATACATGGCCAGATTTCCCCGTTTCTGGAACTTTAGGGCCCTGAAAATTGTAAGGTCAGAAGGCACTATGCAACCATCTTAATACTGACCTGGTGCACTTCTGGACACCGCTATTCTAATCTTGATCCTTAATTGAGCAGGGACGGTCAACTGTGTGGTGGTTTTATGAGGTGGATAAGTAAGGCGTAAAGTCACACTGAAGTCATTTTCGCTAATTACCTAATCCAGACGGCTGGATGCCAGATAGTCATGAGTTCTAACCCTGGCCTGTACAATGACACTGTGTGATCTTGGACAAATCACTTAACTTCTTTGTGTCTTACTTTCTCCCTCTGCAAAATGAGGATATAACCTGCAGGGGTGTTGAGGAACAGTTAAATTCTTTATTTCACTTTCAAGAAGGAAAGCACTATACAAGTATACTAAGCAAGAATTTAAACCCAGTTCTACAGAGGTGAAAGCCTAATACATTAACTCACGTAGACAAACTACTTCTAACCCAAGAACCCTTGTTTGCCTTGCCTTCATGACCATTTTATATTGGGAAATATACAGTACATGACCTCTCAATTCAACCCCAAACCCCAACCCCAGCATTACCATGAAATCTCCAGACAGAATCAAGGACAAGCATCTCATGTACACCCCCATTTTCAAAAGAACATTAATGATAAACACATTTAAAAATCTTTGTACAATTTTATACATTTCAGAACAACAGTTGTAAATGGAGCAATATATGAAGATATGAAACATTTTTTATCTTTGAAGGGAAAGGGAAGGAGTTCTCTAGAAATTTTAATCTTTCCTGGCTGTCATTCATGCTGCTCATGTCATCCTGCTCATGCTCAAAGTGAGCTGGATGCAGTTTTCTAAGGAGACAGTCAGTGCCACTCCTGTCAACATGAGGTGTTCTTCCCCCTCATGGGCAAGTCATACTGCCTTCACAGTGCACCCAACCTTTGCTGGCCTGGGAGTTTGCATACCACACTGCCACCAGGAAGAGCCTTCTCCTTTCAAAGGACCTACTTGGAGATGTCAGGAACAAACTGCAGTCGATGGTGGAAAAACCCTGGAGAGTAAAGCAGTGCTAAAAAGTGATCATTTGATTTAACACAAAGTTCAGCCATTGGTATATGGAAATCTAGCATTTCCATGAGCGATCAACAGCAAGTAATCGGGATACACCAATTTAATGTCTGGATACAGCCTAACACAACAATAAAAACCTTTGTAAAGGCACTAATTTTGAAAAGGTACTTATCCAACAGAATACAAAGGCTCTTTTGGAATGGCTACAATCCATCATATAGAGCTATATTTAGGTTTACACATGACTGAACAGCCATTATCATCAGTCCAACTGGCACTTATGTAATCAAGCCACATGGGATTTGTTCGAGACAAGGCTCCATGTCTTACTTGGCATATTAGAACTATATTACGCAACTCTCCTCTTCACTGCCTTCCCAATCAAATTAATTTTTTAAAAAGCTGCTCCCAAATTTTCATTTTTAACATGCTGCAAGTTTTAGTACTGACAAGGTATAATTGCATAATAGATGTTGACAGGGAGAACCTGAAGAAGATAGTCAGGCACCCATGAAGTTTTGGGAGAAAGTTTTTGGGTTCTGAGGCTTTTGATACGGGAGAGGGAATATATTCTCCTCTTTCCCTCTCCCTTTTGGGCAGAGGCAGAAGTGCCTAAGGTATTGCCTACATGAGAGATTTTTGCATTAGTGTAGATACACCAATACAGCTAAACCATCGCAAACTCCCAACACAGATATTCTGCACTGGAATAAAGCAGGTTTTATAGGTGGGCTGACTTATCCTGGGTACAGTAGTGCAAAATGCCTTGCACCAACATAAGTCATGTCTATGTTAGGAATTTGGCACTACAATAGCTATACCAGTGGCTAAAAATCAGCATAAACAAGGCCTTATGTTTGGCTCACATTTAAAAAGTTATCTGTGTAACCAATAAGGGCGAGATTTTTAAATGAACGCTTAGATTCTGGAGCACAAGATGCAGCCATTTATGTGGCTGCATAATAGCACCTACTAGCCCCTGGTTCCTACAGTTTACATATTATATTATGATAATATATGATATAAAGGCAAAGATAAAATTTTGCTGAATTTGAAATAGGTCTTGGATAAAATTTTCATAAGCACTTAAAGACTTAGGAGTTTAATTCTCATTTCATAAGTGACTCAGTCACTTAGGAGCCTAAATCTCATTGAAAGTCAACTCCTAAGTGCCTCAATCACTTTTGAATGTGTGACTTAAGCTTCTAGTCCATTTTTACTCAATATACTGCATACTAACAATGGTCAAGAGACTAACTTATTGTACCAATGATACCTTTCAAGTGTGGTAAGTGTCCTGACAAATACTTCTGTTCAATGTCCCCAGAGTCCCCTATATACCATAGGTTAACTACTTATATAATCCCACTGACAGTTCTAAAAGATTATCTGCTGTGAGCTGAGTCACCTAAATGACTATACCATCCTGTAAATTTATACTTAAGTGGTCTCTGCTACACTACAAGCTTTAGAAATGTTTCATTTAAGAAGTGCAAGGATTTTTTCAATTCATTGATAGGCATGAGGGTGCAGCAGAATGTTTAATTTTTACACACACACACTCAACGGCAATGATGTTTACATTTCTACTTAGATGACATAAGGGGCATTTATAGTGCATCCATAGTCTACTATGCACTAATTGATGCTACAGATACCTCAAATTAATTTTATACAAATATTTATCGGCTTTTTTCTTTCTGATCTATTACAGGTAAACCAATAGGTCTAACTTCTCCTAGACTATTGTCTGCCTTGAGGAATTTTAGGAAAAAAATCCTACTGGTGCTGTCACTGGTTCAACTGCACCTGGTGTTAGCATCAGTAAAAGCCTTAGTGTAAACAAGGCTCCAGTGGGTTACAAAGCTTTTATTACCATGTCAGTTAAACTTCTTGAGAAGCAGGTTTATTTGACAGTGGTAAAAATACCAGAAGCTGCTGCTGTCTTGTGTACACTAGGTCTTCAACTGATGTTAACACCAAATGTAACTGAATTCGTTGTAGCACTGCTGGATTATTATTTTTAAACACCAAAATGCCCAGGTATAAAATGGCTTTATACTAGGCCACTTCATTACATGGCTGTCTCCTGGATATATGGTTATATACATTGGCTTGTCATTAACAGACCGTGCCCAACTGTTTTACTGCAATTCTAGCTCCAGATTCTACTTTGTATCCATTCTCAAGCCTAGTCTGCTCTTAGAAATAGTTCTCACTAGGCCAGGAATGGCCACCAATCAGTGTAGCTGCATCAATCCTGACCCTTATTTGTAGACAAGGAGATACAGGTGGGTTTGCACCAACTGAGGTTTACCCATGTTTGTATTGGGGAAAATCCAGGCTTGCCTTGCCTATATTTAAGAGTCAGCACCAATGGCTGAGTCAGGGGTATTCCTAAGCATAGATATGGTCTCAACTTGGCAGTGAAAACCATTCTGGAATTTGTGTGGTCCAAAGCCTAACCCATTGTAACCTCAATTTTTAAAGCCCAGTGTGGCCTAATGGACAGAACACTGGATTGGGTTCCAGGAAACCTGGATTTTCCTTCTGGCTTTGACACTGGGCCGCTAAGTGACCTCGGGCAAGTCACTTCACCTCTCTGCCTCAGTTTCCTCATTTGTAAAATGGAAATAATGATGCTGATCTTTTTTGTAAAGTGCTTGAGATCTACTGAAGTGCTCAATAAGAGCTAGGTAGTAATAATAAATAATAATTTATCCTTCCTTTCATCTCCCTCTTATGAGCTGGAACATAAGGTAAAACAGTTCAGTCAGAAATGTCACTTGAAATGTACTTCTACAAAATTGGGAAGTCTGCATTTATTTAAAAATTGTTACTTTTTTCCTATATATATTCAGTGTTTTCTATTGTTGTTTACTAACACTGTAAACTGCATATCAGTACAGGTCCAGAAATGCAATTTAAAATAAAAGGGAAAGCTGTTCAGAGACTTCATAAGCAAATTCTAAGTAAGGTCAAAAATTATTGGCTGCTGTACCAAAAAGTTAAGATCCATTTTAGGTAAGAATCCAAGCTTCATGGCTAGGATTATTTTCAGAATACTGGAGCAGTCCAGTAACTTGTTCAGAAACAGGCAACAAAAATGATTAAGGGTATGGAATGGCTTCCGTATGAGGAGAGATTAATAAGACTGGGACTTTTTAGCTTGGAAAAGAGACTGTTAAGTGGGGATATGACAGAGATCTATAATATCATGACTGATGTGGAGAAAGTAAATAAGGAATTGTTATTTACTCCTTCTCATAATACAAGAACTAGGGGGTCACTAAATGACAATAATAGGCAGCAGGTTTAAAACAAACAAAAGGAAGTATTTCTTCACACAATGCACAGTCAATCTGTGGAACTCTTTGCCAGAGGATGTTGTGAAGACCAAGACTTGAACAGGGTTCAAAAAAGAACTAGATAAATTCATGGAGGATAGGTCCATCAATGGCTATTAGCCAGGATGGGCAGGGATGATGTCCCTAGCTTCTGTTTGCCAGAAGCTGGGAATGAGCGACAGGGAATGGATCACTTGATAATTCATTCCCTATGGGGCACCTGGCATTGGCCACTGTCGGAAGACAAAAACAAAAGGAGTACTTGTGGCACCTTAGATTAACAAATTTATTTGAGCATAAGCTTTCGTGAGCTACAGCTCACTTCACTGAAGCTCACGAAAGCTTATGCTCAAATAAATTTGTTAGTCTCTAAGGTGCTACAAGTACTCCTTTTCTTTTTGCGGATACAGACTAACACGGCTGCTACTCTGAAACCAAAGGTTTTAATGTTCTGGGCTGAAATGGGGCCTTCTGCTTGACTGTCGGAAGACGGGATATAGGGCTAGATGGACCTTTGTTCTGACCCAGTATGGCTGTTCTTATGTCACGTTTCAGTCAAATGTACGTATTCTTTTCAAAAAGTGCCCTCTTTTGGTGATACTCATTGGGTGGGAATAATTTACTGCCCTTCTGCCTTTTAACATTTCAACTAAATTAAAATGGAATTCAAGGGGCTTTACCCTGGGGCAGTGGGCCTATTTCACCACTAGGATGCAGCACTGTGTTAAGTTTTCTTTAACAAAGCAAGACTAAATCACCAGATAAAACAACAATGCCCATGGTTATGAGATAACATATATACCTAAGAGCAGAAAACAAGTCACAGATAAGTCAAAAGCTCAGAAATTGTATTCCATAATTTAAATTATTTAAAATGATTCTTTCATGGCAAAGATTTCCACTGTTGTGTATATAACTAAAAGTGACAAACCTTCTGGTGAGATGCAGTCCAACAAAAATCTCCCTACTAACAGCAAATTCAAAAGGCTAATCTATTATTTATTCAGATTTTGCAGCACTGCAGAAATGGGCAGGTTTATGATCAGGTTCACCTTTTGCATTATTAGAAGGATTTCCACATATCTACGTACATGTATACAAACACCATTGTAAATAATATGTCAAGAGAATTTGAATCATCTTAATGTGATCCAGAAAGCAAAGATGACAAATTAACACTTTTCACATCTTGAAGGTGTTACAATTTTTCTAGGTCACTTGTGTCAGCCAACATTCTACACATTGCTGATTCCCTGACACTTGTTACCATTTTGTTCTCCCCTCAAAATCTTACCTTTACACATTATGTCCCTGATTTTCAAGGGTGCCAAACATTCAAAACTTTGACTGAAGCTACTGGAAGCTGCAGGTGGGTCAGCACCTCTGAAAAATCAGGTCCTATTTTGTACAAAGTGGTGCACTGCAGACAAGTTTTCAACCCATTATTCTTGTATCTGGCATTTGTTAAAAAGTAGTCTGGCATCTTCCCACAGTGTAGATTAATCCTAGCAAGAACTCTGCTAAAACAGCACACGGGGCAACCTCTGGTCCCTATTTCCTTTGGCAGACACCAAGAAGTGCTGACAGGTAGAGGCAGATCTCGGTCAGGACCTTGTCTCCATAAAAAAAATTCCCTCTCTGAGGTGTCCACTAGCCGTATCCAGGGCACAACAGAAAGGTGTGGAAATCTGGCAAGCAGGTGAACTAACCTACCTGAATGTTTTTTTCACAGTCTGTTTGCTGGTGAAGGGACAGCTCACTTTCTAGAACAAATTTCTTCCCACACTTGTCGCAGATCTGCATACGCCTGTGAGTGACGTTCATGTGCTTCTCCAGGTACCAGCGTGTGTTAAACACCCTGGGGCACTTTTCACAGGTCAAAGTCTCCTTTTCTTCACACTTTGATTTCTGCACAGGTGCCTTGGGCTCCTTTGCAGCTTTCTTCTTACGCTTGGGGGGCTCCACACTCTTTCTGCGGCCCCTTGTAGTTCTGGGTGAAGGAGAAGTTGTGGCTGCTGCAGCAGATGCAGCTCTCCTTGTTCTCCTTTGGGTAACACTAACTTTTTCCACTCTTTTCTCTTTTTTCTTCTGCCTCTCATTTTCCTCATCATCATTACTGTCTTCAGTGGCCTCTTCCCCACTGTCACCCTCCTCTTCCTCACTGCTGGTCTTAAGAACAGCAGTCTCTTTGGACTGGGAGGGGACACCCTTTTCCCCTTTTGATACATTTAATGTTTGGTTGTTAAGGTTTACCTCCACTATAATCTGCTCCCTTTTGTAAGTCACTTCATCTTCCTCCTCTTCTTCCTCCTCAGAGTTGTCAGAGTTCTCTCTATCTTCTTTCACAGCCCGGACCTCTCCCACTGATCTGTTCTCCCTGAAATATGGCTGCTCCTCTCTTTCATGGAGATGTGGTTTACTCATTTTGCTGTCCACCAACACAGAGTAAGGGCTTCCTGACTCTCTTTTGTACACTTTGGTGGACAGATCAAGTTCCTGACTGGAAGCATGATAAAACGTGGGTGGCACTTGACCACGACGGCTTTCCTCTTGCGCCATCCCTGCTACATGCACGGCACTGTTTTCAACCAGCTGTTGGTCAGAATTGGCTGTCTGACTCATTGGGGGGAGGGGCCCTGATTCATTGAGCACCTTTGATCCCAGAAAAATCAAATAAGCTGCTGTGAAATATGATGGGCTTTCAAGATGATGCCTGTTCCATCAAGACAGAATGACTAAAATACGACTCTCTCCTGGTGTTTAGCACTGAAGTGTGGATCACAGAATTCTGGTATTATGGCAAGAGCAGAGCTGTAGTAAATATTCTTCTGAAGAAAGCGACCAACCAATCTTCAAACATTTTATCTACAAAGAAGAACAGAGAAAATTAAGTCAGTTTCTTAAAAATAATTGAAGAAATATATCCCCCAAGCTCCTTGTTTTCTTTCCAGGTGTACAATTTAGGCAGAGTCCAGCAAGATCTACCATACCAATTATTAATTATTCATTATGCTTAGTGGTCTATTCTTCAAATTGCCAAACAAAAAAAATCTTATTTCCACTGATTACTGGCAACGGTGCAGATCTCAACAGACCCTCCGGGAGAGATAAGAGATTATCAAACTGTAAAATATGAAAATGGACCATACTAGTAGGTCCAGCTTATAGTGGATAATGTGGGATAAAGGCCAGGTGCAAAGAAAAAAAGGGTGCCCACCATCTTTTTTTTTTTTTTTTTAATTAAACTTATGTCTAAAAGCATCCTGAATGATATCCTTCCTAAAAATCCCTCCCAAATTTTGTTTTTTTTAAATCTTTTACATTACAAATTGAAGTCTGCTCTACCCTGTTTTCTGATGATCTATGGAAAGGTAGAGAACTGATAGTATGGCATCTCTCTGGTTATTAAACCTCATTACTTGAGAAAGAAGTGATTTTCATTCCAATATAGTTTTGTTAAAGATTCAGCACACAATTAAGGGCTGAGAAGTCTTGCAATACTCATCTGAGACTACTCTCAAACAAAGTTTCCTGTAAACCTGAGAATAGCAGACTTAATATTCCTGATATATCAAAGATAAATATGAAGTATTTTTGATGGGGAGGAGGGCAGATAATCTTTCAAATCTTCTCTATATATCATAAAGCAGCAAAAAAGAGGCACAGACCCTCTTTCTCCTTTTCACAGGTCACTTTTAAGTAAGTCAACAAACTCACTGTGGTTCCCAGTAGCACCAAGGACACAATTTCACTGTGCTGCAAAAAAAGTTACAGCAGAACAAGAAAAACTCAGATCAAAAAGGCCATGAAAAATTCTGTACATGTGCCAGCCTGGATGAGATGGGTAACCAGACAGGAAAGTTCTGTAGAACAACTGAGAAAGCATCTCTAAACTGCCTCCTCCCTGTTCTACCCTCCAGGTTGTAGTAGCATGCAAACTGGAACTGATTATGTGCCAAAGGACATTGTATTAATGTACATGTGCATGAAGAGTCTCAGTGAAACATTTTCATCTTGCAGCAGTAAATTAGAGTGGAAGATATTGTGTGTCCAGTTGTTTGTGTTTCCACCTCACAGATTGTTCATACAATCTGTATTTGATTTAAGGGACCTATTCTCTTCTATCTCAGCTTGTGCCCTGTCCCACGGTTACTCACTCCCCAATCTAGTAGCCAAACAATAACCCTTTCTATCCATCTAAATTTTACCTGCAGTTATCAAAGTTGGAGTTTGACCAGTACACCAGGGTTAAAGCTCCTACTTCCTCCTGCAAAAAATACCACGTGATCTCTACCACTAGTAATCAGAACCTCAAGATTTTTTTCCCATTCAGGAAATGTCATTTCAAGCAGCGCAATATTAGAAAGACAAACCAAGAATCTGGATTGAATGGATGAGATAGAGGGGTATATCTGAGCCATCAGCATAAATGTGGGATAGTCAAAAAGTCATGCCTGCAGACAACAGTACCTAGAGAGGGTGCAGAAGGAGGGAACCAAGGATAGAGGCCTGGGCGAAGCACATAGGAAGGAGAAGGGAGGATGACAGATCACCAAACAAGAGAGTTTGAAGCAGCAATCAGAGAGCTAGGAGAACCAGAAAAGCCAACCACTAAACTGTTGGGGTTAAGAAGGAACTTCCTCTATGGGAATATTATTACATAACTGTCCACCTCTAAAGTTTGTTCCACCAGTTCAGAGTTGAGGCACCTTTGATTTAACAACACTGTGTAGTGAGACTTATGCTGCTATTCCTATGCAATACTCATCCCATCAACAGAGTAAAGCACCTCTGGGTACAATTCAGCACCATTCACATGCACTAAATTGACTTCAATAAGAAAAAACTACACATGACTTAAGTAGGAAGAATAGTATATTACAGCTGTACATTACACACTTCTTTCCACTTAGCACTGTGAGTTACTAATAAAAACATTCTCCAAACCACAAATATGACAACTTCATTCCAGACACAGCTGAATGCAATTTATATAAAGAAGGAAGTATATGTTGCATTTCTCTATTCGACAACCTTAAAAAGAGTTCAATTAAGGTGTTTGAAAAAGGACGACTTCAGTAATAGTTTTTATGGTAAACAAATTCATTAAACCAGTGGTGCTTCTCCTAGGGTACCAATTACCAATGATCTGCAGAATAAAAAACAAGCATTCTACAGATAGTGTAGGGAGATGAGAGACTGCAAAGCAATATGGACCCAAAGAGGTACTTACAAAGTGGTCTACACAACAAAGTGTTAATTCCACCATTATGTCTCTCCCCTCAACAGAATTTTAAAAATTAGTCATAAAACCTAGCAAACAGTGTTTATGCCATATAGAAAACTATACCTAGTTATTTTGTAAGCTCATTGAACAGATCTAAATTACATGGCTAACACTAGAAGTGTGTATAATCACTGATAATATAACACCTGAAATAGCTTAACATGCTGCTGTGAACAAGAAAAAAAACAAAATCACCTTTTCATTGAATTTTTGTCTTCATATTTATTAGAATTGTTTCACCTCTGCTCATTTTAGGAACATTCTATAAAATAAAACCACTTTACATGAATGTATTACCACTTCAAAAGCAAAAGGACACATTCTGAACGTATCAAAAGCTGTTTGGTCTTAAACCACTGCACTTTGCAGAAACAGTAACCTAGTTTCACTTTGAATATAATATTTGCAATCCTCAAGGGACCCACAACTTTCTAACAAAATTTCATTAACTGCCCCAGAGATGGTAAAGAGAGGGACACTTAATACATTCTCAATACAAACAATGCATTGCATCAGAAGATTAAAAAGTTTGAAATAAAATAGTGCTGAAGTATAACTTTTACTAGCAATTTCTGACACAATATACAAATCTTAATTCTGAAAATACAAAAAAGACAAGAAAAAAATCTATTCTTCTTAATGAATTCTTAATGAGCGAGAGTCTGTCTCATATCTTGATGAATTGTTCAGACTCTGAAAGAATGCTTTTCCTATCAGATGGGAGAAACACAGGCTCTCTTTAAAGGAAGTACATCCGAATTCAAACTCAGAAGTAGTTTTATTATGAATATAAAATGAATAGTTATGAGGCACCTGCAGGAAATTTGTATTCAGAGACTACACTGGAAAAACCTAAAAAGTGAGGTTACAAGAGTTAAAGGCATAAAGCCCAGAAGCAAAAAGTGCACCAAATCTTGACTTGCAGACAAATGTGTAGGTGGAGGAAGCATCTATGTGGGAGCAGCATTTCACACAATGCCTTTGCTACTTCTAATGAAAAACCACATTTCTTCATGTTATCTGCCAGCTAAAAATAGAAAAATCTACCCAGCAATGAACTCAAACAATTATTTGTTCTAACTTTGATTCAATATCAGCTGTTTTAAATCAAGACCAGTCTGAGTCGGATGTACAGAGTGCTATTGACTATAGATTTTAAATTACATCTCCTCAGAGTAGTGTGGTTAATAGTGACCAGACAGAGTGAGAAAACCTGGCTTTTATTCTTAACTCTGGTTTCAGAGGAACAGCCGTGTTAGTCTGTATTCGCAAAAAGGAAAGGAGTACTTGTGGCACCTTAGAGACTAACCAATTTAGACTCACCACGTGACCCTACCTTTGTGCCAAATTTCCCTATCTGTAAAATGGAGATAATGCTTATCCCATTTGCAACACATTTTGTGATCTACAGATGAAAATTACTCCTGCTTAGCATGGTTCTCCATGCACCACATAGTTGTGTAGCTACCGACATACACTGTGAATAACTAGGTGCCTACTACACAAGTGCGCTGAATTACTTCTCGTGGCTCCCATGGAAGACAGGAAGATGACGCATTTTACGTCACTCCACAACCACTTACAGCACTGGGGGAAGCTCTCCGGGGCAGGAGTGACATTGACCTAATTCTTACCAGTTGTGCTGCTATCCATAGGGTCCCAATATCAGCAGTGATTAACTGCCAAAGATATTGGTGGGCTTTCACTTTGCTGTAGCTTTGCAAACCTACAAGCATTTATATAGAGTCATTGCAGTGGTCTCTGCAGACATAGAAAGACAGCACTGCACTGAGTTTATACTTAGTTATCACTTGGAAGATTATTTTTGCAACCATGAAGGCTAGAAACTTACTTTTTTAAAATGAAAGTTTAGATTGTATACAATTGGTGGCATTTGCTTGGGAAAGCTCTGTACTCACCATAAGGAAGAGTGAAGTTTTCAAGTCCTATTCTCTACACTCCTTGCAGGAGCTCTCCAACTTCCATCACACAGTTTTGAGGACTGATTCAAAGAAAGACAGAGAAAGAAAGACTCCAGTAGCCGACTCTCAGGCTATGTCTATACTGCAGAGCCTATGCCAACGTAGCCCCCTAGTGTAGACGCAATATATGCAACAGAAAGGAGTTCTGTGGTATAGGACCAGCACCTCTGCAAATGGCATTAGCTATGCCGACAGAAACTCTCTTTTGTTGGCGTAGTTGTATCTCACTGAGAGTTTTGTCAGCACAGATATCACAAGCAGATGTTTTTTCATACCTCTTACTGACACAGCTATGATGGTACAAGTTTTAAGTGTAGACTAGGCCTTAGTCTTTAAACTCAGTACTTACTTTGATTCAGAAACTATTCATTAAAATGTCTTACGCTGGCAAACAGTATTCCAGAGTTGGAAGTAGAATAAACTAAATTTGTCTATTTTAAACCTCATTTGTGTTGGACTTCACTTCCACCAATGTGGCATAAGTGCCCCCAACTTTAATAATAAAAGGTCACAAAAACCCAGGCCAAAACTGATTTTACAGAAAAGCGCATACTAACAGTACACAAACATTAGGAATTAGTTTTACATATAGGCCC